ACCCTAAACCCTAAACCCTAAACATTAAACATCATGGGGTCCGGGGTGGTTCGCCTGGGACTGTTGTTTGGCATCTCGGCGAAACATGGCGGCGTGGTTGCTGTAGTTGCCGTGAACGCTTCCTTGGTGGGGGCTCCAGGGCTCGCACCTTCATAGCCGCGTCGAGGTCGTAGCCCAAGAAGCGGAAAGCTCGGTTCACCAGCAGAATATGGGGGTTTGCGAGATAAGGACCCCTAGTATAAGCCCCCAAATCGTAGGATCCCCTTATAACTAGCGCCCCCAAAAGGTACCCCCCCCCCCCCCCCAATTTTTGGAAACCCCCACAAAGCCATCCGGTGGGGGTGTGAGAGGTTGGTAGTGGGGCCGTGGCCAGGACTCCTGCCGGCCTTGCGCTGTGAGCACTTCCTGTCTGCTGCAGGCCGCAGCGTGATTAGAGCATTTTGCATACCCCTGTGCATGCTCTGAGGATGTTTGGAATGTTTGGGATCATTTGAATTCAGGCCCGGGGCTCCCTCCATGTGCCCCAAATCCCCGAAACCTCCTAAACTCCCCTAAACTCCCCACTCTGGAAAGCCTCTTTCAAGCCGCGGGAAGAATGTTCTCTGTTTGAAAGCCAAGCGACCTGCCCTTCCCTTCAGCCCCAGAGAGCATATCTCAGAGCCCAGCGCAAGCGCGCACGTCACTCAGGCCTCACCCAGTGCCCCCGCCGCTTGGCCGATGTGGGGGCGTCAGGGCGCCCAGGGGGTGGGTTGGGGGGAAGGGTTACTTAGGGATACTTGGGAATGACTTTTGTTTTTTGGGCACTTTAACACCTAAGAAACAGCAAAAAGTCTAATTTTTGCTGCGGTTCCAAGTTCTGTATAGGTTCTGCCTCAGCAGAGCCCAAGCAGCCCATCCAAACCCTTCTGAATTTCTGAGCCCCCATCTTCATTTGTTTACATCAACCTAAATGACCTTGAACCAAATTGCTTTTGTAAAAGCTGCTAAGCTTCGAGTGATCTTTGCTCGTTTAAATGAACGTTGGACATCTTTAAGTAGCTCAAAGCCATTTAGGTAGTTTTCTAATAGTTTCCAAGGAACTTCAAGAGTTTTAATCAAACCAGATGAAGATTGGAAGCTTTGAAGCCCGGAGAGTTGTAAATGTAAGTGGCGGTCTCGGGGCCAAGTGGGTCTGCAGACTCGTGTGCGCTCACAAAGCACGCTTACTCCTGGCACCCAAAGCCTTCAACCCTAAACCCGAAACCTAAAACCCTAAACCCTAAACCCTAAACCCTAAACCCGAAACCTTAAACCCTAAACCCCAAACCCCAAACCCCAAACCCTAAGCGCTAAACGCTAAACCCTAAACCCTAAACCCTAAACCCTAAACCCTAAACCCTAAACCCTAAACCCTAAACCCTAAACCCTAAACCCTAAACCCTAAACCCTAAACCCTAAACCCTAAAACCCTAAACCCTGAAACCTCTCCTCGTGGGCATAGGCCCGGGCTTCGTGGGTATAGGCCCGGGGCTTCGTGGGCATTGGCCCGGGGCTTCGTGGGCATAGGCCCGGGGCTTGGCATAGGCCCGGGGCTCGGCATAGGCCCGGGCTTCGTGGGCATAGGCCCGGGCCTTCGTGGGCAGATGGTCTCTGGATTGCTTCAGTACCTTGTCTTGGAAGTACGGTCTTTCGGGAGGTCCTTGTTATTGCTTTTGGGTTTGTTTTCTCCAAGGAAAGGAAAGGACAAGGAAGGGAAAGTAAAGGAAAGGAAAGGAAAGGAAAGAAAGGACAAAGAAAAGGAAGGAAAGGAGAAACAAGGAGCAAACCGTGACAGAATCCGGCCCCAGGTTTCTGCCTGGCCCGTGAACCACAATCCGAAGAGAAGTTGTGGTTCAAGAACAATCAAAATGAACGGCGACAGCATGACACGTGCGTATCCCCCTGCTCAAAAGCATCACAGCGTCATGCCCGGCGAGAAAGAACTTCTGTGTTCAATGAAAACCCTGACTGATGCGGCAGTGGGAAGGCAGCTGTGAACCGTTATAGCCCAAGCCCAAGCAAGCGCCTGGCTCAGGAAGCAGCGGAGCAAGCCGAAGCGCAGCTGCGTGAGTTCCAGATACTGTTGGAGCATCAACGCATGATGACTGAAGATGCATTCTCCGCTTCGCCCCCAGGGTGGCACTGAGTGTTTTTGTCTGCTTGACCTGTCAACCATTTCCTCTGAGGGGTGGCCGCGGCCAGGGTCTCATCTGTTGATGCAAGCCTTTTCAATGCTAAACGCACGGAGCAAGACTCAGGTCATCTGGAGGGCCTACTGCGGCAATTTGCTCCGCTGAGGCACCTCTGCCGCCCCGAGCGGGTCATACACGCGCGGGCGTTCACCTGGAAGTCGAATCTTTCAGTACAAGCCGCGTCGCAGGGGTCTACGTATGTTTTTTTTCTCCGGGCGGCGGGTTCTGCGTGCAGATATTTTTCAGCTCGCCTAGAGACTTAGATCTCTGCTCGCGCGCCTGGTGCGACTAGCAGGTGCAAGGCCCTGATCTGAATCCGGCCCACGTGCCGAGATCTCATGGATTGAACTTTGATGTTGGGTCTTCAACAGGAGATAATCGTACTCCTGGGTCTTGGTGGCTCTTTCTGGCCCGCTCTTATCCAAGTCGTACTCCCGGGTCTTGGTGGCTCGGGTCTTGGTGGCTCTTTCTGGCCCACTCTTATCCATAACAAATCGTACTCCCGGGTCTTGGTGGCTCTTTCTGGCCCGCTCTTAGTGCCCGGGTCTTGGTGGCTCTTTCTGGCACACTCTTATCCGCAACAAATCGTTCTTTCCGGTCTGGCTCTTTCTGGCCCACTGGACCCACTCTTATCCGTAACAATTCGTACTTTCGGGTCTTGCTGGCTCTTTCTGGCCCGCTCTTCTCCGTAACAAATCGTATTCTCGGGTCTTGGTGGCTCTTTCTGACCCACTCTTCTGCGCAGCAAATCGTGCTCCCGGGTCTTGGTGGCTCTTTCTCGGCTACCGTAACAAAGCGTTCTCCATTTGCAAATGCTTGCAAGCTCGTGAAAAAAGGTAGATTTCCCTTCAGCCACCAAGTGTGACGCCATGTTGAGGCCGTCCAAGGTTTTTGTGGATGAGGCTTTTTGGATCTTCAGGGCTGCGAACACCCCTCCCCACAACCTGCGGTTCATGGATGATGGATTGAGCCCCTAAACCCTTGAGACCCTAAACCTGGAGACCTTAAACCTTTGAGACCCTAAACCCTTGAGACCCGAAACCCTTGCCCTAAACCCCTGCGAACCCCATTAGTTTTGAGGGCGGTGCGCTGTGGGGCCTGTGTTTTTTTTAGTGTTTTTGCACTGCACAAGTGTTTAGAACGCAGGTGTGCATGCACATGACACTGTGTATCCTGGATACTCTATAGTTACGAGCACGCGCGCATACACGGGATAATAATTCATCCCAGAGACTCCATTCGTAGACCATACCTTGGCTGCCAGCAGAGTAAAACGAGAAAAAAAAGCTTTCCACGACTGTGGATACGTAACAACAAGTGCAGCTCGCTCAGCAGCGATGTATTTCTTTTACCCCGTTCACGTCAGCACTCAGCTGTGCCTTGAAGCCCCTAGAATCCGGCTCCTTGGTTTCGCCTCTGAGTATATAAACTGGAGAGATACACACAGTGACACCGTGCTTTTCTTCTCACTGTCGAGAAGCCGCGCTCTCGAAAACCATCGATCTGTTTCGATCGCCTCCACCCTACCACCGCGCCAATGAGATTCCGAGATGCTACATGATGTCGGGCCATGGCGAGGGAGATCACGATGGCCAGAGGAGTTTTGCCAATGCCGGCACGACCCAAGAGTATGAGCCCGTGGGTGGTCATAGTTGGCAAGATGAGCGGTAGGATCTTGTTGACAAACTCGTGGTTGAGATCTGTTACCAGAAGGGGGAAGAAGAACTCTGGCTCAGCCTGCGAATTTCCGGTCGTCCGATTCTGACAGGCTTTGCTCACCACATGCATTGGCCAGGCATAGATGGGGGATTCATTATCCCGGACGTTCAACAAGGACCAAAGAAATTGTTCGTTTTTTCCATTAGCCAGGGGGGCGTTCATGTTGATGAAGTCGATGCCCTCCCGAAGCTCCTCTGGTGATGGATCCCAAGATGAGGCGTCCTTCTCCGATGTGCTCTTGCTACGTACAAGCTTTGTGCCAAGGGACTGTTTCATCCAGTGGTCGCCTTCGATGCCTTTCAACATGACGAGGAATGCGCATTTCACCAGGTCCGAGTTGGTGGCTATCTTGTAGTTCAGCAACATAGGCTTGTCCCTGCAGAACAGGCGGACCACACCCCACGGCAGAGAGATGCTTGAGTGGAAGAATTGGAGCACAGCGTTACTGCGAGTGTCGATGACGAGTTGCAACGAGCACGCCTCACCAAGAACGTCGCCAGGACGCACACTATCAGGCAGTAGTGCAGTGTTGTTGGGATCCTTGGCCATGATCTCCCGGATTTGGTCTTGATCTTCAGTACTGACGTCATGAATGAGGCGGAAGAACTCCTTGAACTTTTTGCCCTTTCCGTGAACCTCAATGAACGGCAAGTCGGCGACGGTGTACTTGCCCTCTTGCACAGTGGTGTGGAAGTGCTCAGAATGGAACTTGACGAAGGTGCCCTGGGCTTGCGCGACACAATCCTGCATGACGACGGGCTACGGCAAAGTAATGAGTAGGAGAGTGCTCTACACACAAAGACCTGTGATGAGCAAACAGAGCACAGACATGGTGCAGTTGATCAAGGTGTGCAAATACGACAGATGTATCGCGAGAACACGTAGCTTATAAGCAACTTATAAGCAGGCTCGTGTTTGATACAGCAAGAGAACAAGAACGGTTTAATTGGATGCATCCCACTGCTGTTTCGCAGTGCGAAGGCACTGCGTCATCGATTTCGCGATGCGTTGCTTCTTCTTGGACCCTTCTGCCTGTGCTGACAAGGATACTACGGACTGCCAGGCATCATGCCACTCAGTGGTCCAGTTAGAAAAGTCTACATTCGACATGTTGGAAACCTCAGAGCTGGAGCTTGATGAGCTAGAGTCGTCGTCACTGCTGCTCTCACCCTGGTTCTCGTCATTGGTCTGGTTGCTCTGGGTCTCCTCATTGGCATCGCGGGACTCGGTGATGACGTCTGTTGGCTCCTCATTGGTGACGCGGGAATTGGTGATGGCATTTGTTGGCGTCGGCTCCTCATTGGTGTCGCGGAACTCGGTGATGGCATTTGTTCGTGTATGCACATCTGTGATGGCAAGGATCCCCTCATTGGCGTTGCGGGAGTCGATGACGGCGCTTGTTGGTGTTGACTGATCCGTGATGGCCAGCATGGACTGGGCGGTCTTTGCCTTGTTGGAGCCTTTTTTCGGTGTCGCCAACCACTTGTGAAGGGCATGCTCGGCTACAGGGCTCCATCCTCCATTGAGACCCGTGGGCAAGCTGAACTTTTTTTGCAAGTAGCACACGTGCGATAGTAACTGCCGCGATGTGATGCTCTGCTTGGTTTCGTGGGTAACGAGTGTTCCATCTGTGATCTTCGCAATGATGTCGGCGAGCCTTGGCATTTCCATGGTATTGTTGGGCACAGTGGGTGACGCGGAAGATTGAGAGAAGGACGTAGGTGGTTGTGCTGAACCACTGGCCATACTCAAGTTGGTAACCTCAAGCCTGCACACACCGCCCTCCACATGGAGGAATCCAGCTACTGGCGCCGAGCGCTTCATATCTAGGCCGCAATATACTACACAGAAAATGTTCGAATCTAAGCCGAAATACTCGTCATAACATTTCATGATTCAGCTGATAAGTATATAGTGAGCGACAATCTGTACTAGCGCGCGCACACATGCACCAAAAAGAAACTAATGCAGCCGAGATGCTATATATTTATTATGTATATGAGGTTAAAGGTTTAGGGGTTAAGGGTTACTTACTGCGTCTGCTCGATGGTTGCGAGCTTCTCGTTGCAGTCCAGGCACCTGGGGAGGGGGGGGGGGGGGGTTGTCTCAACAGCCTCAAGACCCTGCCCCCCCCCCCCCCCCCCACCAAAAAAAAATCAATGCTTATAAACAAACCATCCCAAAAAGATCAGTGCTTATAAGCAAACCATCTGCTTATAATCAAACCCTGGCTCGACAAAAAAAAAGAACCAGAAGAAATCAAGTATGACAGTCAACCACGCCCATCTAAGCTGAGTATAGTTCAACTACTTAACTTCATCCATCCAACCTAAAACAACTGAAACTTCAACGAAGAGCCCATCTAACCTTAATATAGTTCAACTACCTAGCTTCACCCATTCAACCTCAAACAACGAAATCTTCCTTAAAAAAAACGCAGGCCCCACAGCGCACCCTTCTGTTAGTTTTTGTTGTTGAGCAAGAAGTTTTGTATTTCTTAATGTTACGGGAACTCCGGGTGGGTGGGCGTTTTTCGATGTTCTAAGCGACGAGCCTAAACGAGACTGCTCGACCAGGAGCTCTTGAACCCTAAACCTAAACCCTAAACCCTAAGCCCTAAAACCTTAAACCCTAAACCTCTAAACCTCTAAACCTCTAAACCTCTAAACCTCTAAACCTCTAAACCTCTAAACCTAAACCCTAAACCCTAAACCCTAAACCCTAAACCCTAAACCCTAAACCCTAAACCCTAAACCCTAAACCCTAAACCCTAAACCCTAAACTAAGTGAGGGGTCGCTTCCGTCGAGCGACAGACCCCGAACGCTCGGCCGAGGGCCTTACAGCCCGAGCGCCCAAGCGAAAAGAGAAACGGAAAGGTGAGGGTTAAGCCTCACCGTCTGTCCTGGACAGGCCAACGGACATCGGCCTTTTTTACGACAACGTCAGTACTCGGCTAAGGGATGGCCGGCACCCAGACCACCTTTAGCGTAGCTAAAGTATAACCCCAAATCGCAACCCTTTGCCTCTGACAGGGTTTTGGGTTCAGGGTTTGCCGGGCCCCCCCCCCGGGGGCCCCCTGGCGATTCCTGGACCAGGAGGCTGACAAGGGGGTCAGGTGCAAGGCAAGGGCCCCGGGCCAAGGGCCCCGGGCCAAGGGGCCCCCGGGCCAAGGGCCCCCCGGGGCAAGGGCCTCCCAAGGGCCCCCCGGGCCAAGGGCCCCACCCCCGATTCGAGGGCCCTTCGGCCCAAGCGCCCCCAAACCAAGGGCTGACCCCAGGCCAAGGGCCCCCCGGGCCGAGGGCCCCCCGGGCCAAGGGCCCCCGGGCCAAGGGCACCCCGAGCCAAGGGCCCCCGCACGGCAGGCCAAGCGCCCGCGGGCCAAGGCCTTCGGGCTCAGACCCACACGCACCCCGGTCAAGGGTTTTCGGGCCAAGGGCGCCCCAACCCAGGGCCCCCCAGGCCAAGGGCCAGGGCCCCCCACAACCGGGCCACCCCAAAACGAAGGCCTCCAAGGGCGGCCCGCCCACACCAAGAGCGAGGCTCTGAACGAAGGGCGGCCAAGGGCCGTTTCCACGCCAAGCGCGGCCCCCCAACCAGGCGGCCCGCCCCACCGGGTGAAGGGCACGGGCCAAGCACCCTTGCCGGGCCGAGCCGGGACCGACCCGCCCGGAACTCCAATCGCGCACCCAGCTTTTAAGAGGCGCCAAGAGCCACCAAAAGGCTTCAAAAGCTTCAAAAGGCCCACTAAAATAAAAGAAGGGGGACCACAGGATTTGTCCGTGCCCACAATGATAAATGCGATTTTTCAATATTGAAAACGATGGTTTTAGGCACCCCTGCCCGCAATGAAAACTGCTTTTTTTTAGTACTGAAATCGAGGCTCCCCCCAAATCAGCAAGGACCTCTACGGGCCCTGACGTGCCGAAGGCCCGAAAAGGACCGAGGCTACCCCGAACCCCAAAGTAAATAAGGGCCTCTACGGGCCCTAACGTGCCGAAGGCCCGAAAAGGGCCGAGGCTACCCCGAACCCCAGCTTAAACCCTAACACCGCAAAACCCTGCGAAGGCCTTCAAGTAAATAAGGGCCTCTACGGGCCCTAACGTGCCGAAGGCCCGAAAAGGGCCGAGGCTACCCCGAACCCGAGCTTAAACCCTAGCGATTGAAATACTCATTGGCGAAAAACTCATAGGTTCCCTGACCTTTAAATGAATAAAACCTCTGACACGCCGAAGGTCCGAACAAGGCCCCGAGCGACCCCAAGAGCCACCAAAATGCTTCAAAAGGCTTCAAAAGGCCCCCTAAAAGAAGGGGGACCCCAGGATGCCCGTACCCGCAATGAAAAATGAGATTTTTTGATAGTGAAATCGATGCTTAATTGAGGCCCTTAAAGAAGGGGAATCCAGGAGCAGACACAAAGGGTTCCCTGACCTTCAAATAAATAAGGGCCTCTACGGGCCCTGACACGCCGAAGGCCCGAAAAGGGCCGAGGCTACCCCCAACCCCAGCTTAAACCCTAACAGCGCAACTTTAAAAACATCAAAGCAAGCATCAGAGCACAAGAAAGTAAATTCCATAAACCCTAAACCCTAATAGAGTATAGTTTGGGTGGCCGGGGTGGGTTGACGGGCAACGCGAGCGCGCGGCCCGGGGTGTTTCACACCCGAGCGCGCGCCCTCCCCTGACACACCCTAAACCGTAAACCCTAAACCCTAAACCCTAAACCCTAAACCCTAAACCCTAAACCCTAAACCCTAAACCCTAAACCCTAAACCCTAAACCCTAAACCCTAAACCCTAAACCCTAAACCCTAAACCCTAAACCCTAAACCCTAATCTAAACCCTAAACCCTAAACCCTAAACCCTAAACCCTAAACCCTAAACCCTAAACCCTAAACCCTAAACCCTAAACCCTAAACCCTAAACCCTAAACCCTAAACCCTAAACCCTAAACCCTAAACCCTAAACCCTAAACCTGAACCCTAAGCAGCCCGGAAGACGTCGGCCGATTGAGGTGTGAGGTGGAGGCCGCCAGTTTTTCAGAGCCGACCAGAAGGCCTGAAAGGCCAATTGAAACTTTAGGGCTCTGCTTGGGGTTTAGGGTTTAGGGTTTAGGGTTTGGGGTTTGGTTTGGGGGGGTGTTTGGGGTGTTGGGGGGGGGGTGTTTGGGGGGGTGTTTGGGGGGGTGTTTGGGGGGGTGTTTGGGGGGTGTTTGGGTGGGTGTTTGGGGGGGTGTTTGGGGGGGTTTTGGGGGGGGTTTGGGGTGGGTTTGGGGTGGTTTTGGGGGGTTGTACAAGCGGTGTTACGCGCGAATAGACAATATAAGCCCGCATGAAAAGATCTATAGTTTGGGCTTATATTGCGCGCACACCGTATAATCCTGCGTTACGTTCTCTAGTTCACTTCACTTATTGAATACCGGGCGAAAGAAGTATTATAACGCCCGTAAAGATTATTAGTGTGCACGCCCCGTAAAAATATCTTGTTTGGGCGTGTGAACAATAACAATAACAACCTTATTCCGCGTGCATCAAAAGCCTTATAATTTAGTACATTTAATACGGCTTTTGCACGCATCGTATAAATTCATAGTATTTTAACTGGTGATTGTACGGTTGGTGTGGGTGAATGATTGACAGGGCCACAAGGTTGGGTTCTTTGGTCCAGTTCATGCACTTCATTGTTTTGGGGGGGGTTTTGGGGGGTTTTGGGAGGGTTTTGGGGGGTTTGGGGGGGTTTTGGGTTGAGGGCCCTCAACCCCAGAAGCCCGAGCCCGCCATGAGCAGCAATGACAACTTCTCATAGGGGTCAGAATAATCACTAACATGATTCCCTTACAGTCCCTCTTCATAATCATACCATACTAACCCCCAGAACCCTATTCTAATTCTTCAGGCCCCTACATTTCCCATGAGTTTTTCTCACCCAGAGGGCCGAAGACGAGGAGCCCTTCGTTCCCGAGCACGATGACCGCGAGAAGGCCGGGGGCGTGTCGCAGGCCTTCGGTTGAGGGCACAGCTTCAGCTCGGACTCTGAAGATTTGAGGGTTTTATTTTTTAAAGAGGGCTACGTAGGCCCTTGGGACATTTTTATATCTTTTCCCTTATTCGCTTTAAGAGGGTCATGTTGAGGACTATTCTTCAGAGGGTTTTGAGGGCCATCCTAGGAGGGCATTTAAGGTTTGCCTCGGGTGTCGCGTAGGGTCAGCCGTTGAGGCGTGCAGGAGGCCAGGTGCTTGCTGCCATGGGCTATTGCAGTTCTTCCAGTGTCAAATGTTCCAGTGGGTCGAGCTTCGACACCTACCTCATGAGCGACAGCGAATGAACCCCATGTTCGGGAGGATTGCTGATGACGCAGTTGCTTAGCAGTTGCGCTGTTGAGGCGTGTGGCTTGATTTAAATCCACACATAGCTGCGTGGTCTTCCCCGTCGCAGCTTGTCTTCAAGCCGGGCCCTAGATCAGCTAACCGCCGTGACTGCGGACGTCGTGTTCAGGGTTCAAGGCTTCAAGTCAAAGGAATCCCTGGCCGCAATGAACCATCTAAGCCCGCCTATGCCAACCTAGGCCCACCTAAGCCCACCAAGCCCTGAGCTATCTACGCTGCTTCACCTGTCCAGGCTGCTCCCACCACGCCTGTGAAGCGTAAGCGCGACCAGCAAGGCGTCCTTCCGTCCATTGCGAGCCGACTTGGGAGACTGCCACGTCGTATGTCCAGGTGTGGGCCCAGGTTTCGTCATTATGGCTTTAGGGTTGCAGATTTGAGGTTGGATTCAGGCGCACTTCGGGTTTTGGGTTCGCAGGCTACGGCGGCGGTGGCGGCGGAATGCGAGGGTGGAGCAGCGAGGACTTTTTTTTTTTTTCTCCAGTGCGCATCTTCAGCGGCCACAATCACAAGGGAGCTCGAGGTCTTAATTCGCGAACCCAAAACCCGAAGCGCGCTGTACCCCACAGCATCCTCAACCCCTCAGGCCTTAGGCCCCAAGCCACCAAGCCTTAAGCCTGGCTTGTGATGCCCCCAGGAGGAAAGTGACGAGAAGCCTGCCCCTGCTTCCAAAGCAGATGCGCGAAGGCCAGTGCTGTCCCTCCTCCCCTTGGTAAGGCTTCAGGGATTCAGTGGTTTAGCTTTTATCTGCTCACGTCTGACACGATCGTCCTGCCGGCCCACATAGTATCGTCCCTTATCGCATGAAGGCACTCTTTGCACCCAGTTTGTAACAAGAAGCTGCCGAGTTCAGGAGCTTTCTTGCGGCTGTGCTTCTTCCTATCTTCAGGTTCTTCTGTTTGTACTTGTTAGGCACTTTGATATGCCTCTCGTGCCTTACACATGCTCACCTCAACAGGAAGCAAGCAGACTAATGGACATCATGGGCAGCAACAACGAAAGAACCACATCGAAAAGCATACTAGAATCCTAAGCTGTTCCCGAAGGCGTAGCATAAGGGCTCCCATTTTAAGAGTTGCGGTACCAGGCGTCCAGGAGTTGACCCCGACCTCGTGCGTTCTGTGTTGGAAAGCGTCCGACAGCACTCGAGAGCTGTCGAAAGCCTCCGAAAGCTTTCGAAAGCGTCCGAAAGCCTCCGACAGTGTAGTGTTTTGGTATATTTTTGGGCTTTGTCTGTTTTAAAAGGTGCCGACTGTCACGGAGATGAGCTGCGTTAAAAGTGCAGACAGTCACGAGGATCGGGATGGGCCATCCTCCTAACTGTTGTCAATTTAGGACTTCAAGTTAATGTTCGCGTTCCAAAAGTGCTGACAGTCACGAGGATAAGGCACGTCACCGTTGCAGCTTTGTTGTTGTCGAAGCTTCAAAAGCGCGGAGAATCACGAGGATGAGGCACGCGGGGCGCGCCATCTTCGTGACTGTCCTCATTTTCCGTGGCAGCCGCGCCTTCAGAGTCTCACCCCTCTGAGCATCCACGCGCTCACCGAAGGCACGATGGATAAACATAAAGAAAAAGAGGAGGACTGATAGAGAAACTGAAAGGAAGAAAGCAAGGAAGAAAGAAAGAACGACGTAGAGATGGGGAGAGAGACAGAGTAAGGATACGATAAGCTGACAGACAGTCACATCAGTTCGGACGCGAGTCGCAACCCGAAACCCGAAGCCCTAAACCCTAAACCCCTATCCCCTGCAGCTGCAAGGGCCCCCAAGGCGGCGAACCATCGCGTCACCCGAGGCCGACGGGCCTGCGCCTTCTTTGAGGGGCTCAGGGGAGTTTCGACGGTTCGAGGGGCACGGAGGTTTTTCTTGTAAGATTCTGGGCCGTGCGCAAATGGGCCCTGTCAGCCCTGGACGCTGTCCCCAAAACCTTTTGGGGGGGTTATTGGGTTCTCGTCAGTGCCAGGCAGAGGTGGGTCCTTGGGACGCTGCTGGACAGGGGGGGTTTTCGCATTTCTTCAATGTAGCTGACGTCCGGGTGGCAACGTTCTTGACTGGAATTCAGGGACACTGGGACTTCAGGCCCAAAACCCTCCACCTGAGAGCCGTGATCACAAACCCAACCCTAAGTGCCCCAAGTCCTTTCGGAGATCTGGCCCTGGCCGCGGCAGGTCGGGGGTTCTTGTCCGAAAGTGAGCAGGCGACGGGCTCTAGCAACCCTTGATATCGTTTTGAGGCTCAGCGGCTGAGGATTGTGGACGTGTTTTCGCTTGTCACTTGGTGATGCAGAGCCCTCACGAACCCAGCGGGCTTCCTTGAGGGCGTCGATCAAAGTTGAAGTTGGATCGTCAACCCTTCCTTTAGCACGGAAGCCTTCCGCTCAGGATGCATTCGGAACCCTTAACCTTCAGCCCCAAACCCCAAACGCTGAAACTTTGCACTAAAATGTCCCTCAAGGGTCATGCAGGCCTTAGGATGATGGCTGGGGCTTCGGAGTTCAGGTGAGGGTTCTGAAACAGCACAAAGAACTGTTAGATGCGGTTACATTACTGTTAGTCAGTCGTTGTTTTGCTCTTCTGTCTTGGGTGTCGGGGTGAGGGGTATCTTGAGTGTGTGGAGCTCAGTGAGCAGAGAGTGGATGAGAGCGACCATCCTCACCAACCCCCAGCAGGCTGCTGCGGCGCCACCGTCAGATGAGGCACAGCCTAAACCCTCACACTTCAAGTCCCCAAAATTTCCCGAACCCTGCATCCCCTCACAACCTTGTCGAAGCAAGTGCTGACACATTGTGTGAAGGGGCGAATGGGGCGAATGGTGTGAAAGGGGGGAAAGGGGCGAAAGGGGCGAAAGGGGGGAAAGGGGCGAATGGTGTGAAAGGGGCGAAAGGGCGAAAGGGCGAAGGGGAGGAATGGGGGAAGGGGGGCGAAGGGGCGAGCCAAGGAGCGAAGGGGTTCAGACCTTGGGGCTCCAGGGCCGCAACTTGGGGACGACCTGCTTTTCGGCATCTTTTCGACCAGGGGGGTTTGTGGTTGAAAGGTTGAGGGTTGAAGGATTCCAAAAACTCACTGTGCCTGTTGTAGCGACTGCAGTGCAGCATTGGCTTGACTTGGCTGAAGCAGCCCTGCTGAAGGACGCGCCTATCCGCTGCAGGCCGCCCGATGCTATCTGCATTCTGTGACTTGAGTGATGGTTTGATGGGCCATTGGTATAGAGGGTGAGGAACTTCAACTAGTTGAAGAGTTTGGGCCGTTCTGCCACGAAGCCTCGAAGCATGGCATGGTGTAGCCGGGGACGACCCTTGTGCGGCTAGGCTTGAGCAAGCAGAGCTAGAAGGTCCCCGTTCTACATCAAGGCTGAATAAAAGAAAGAAAACAAACCAAGTCAACCCGGGACCCAACAAAGTCGATTTTCTCAGCTTTCTGGGTTGTCTGCCAGATCTCTCTCTCCAGCAGTCCCAAACAGAACGAACTGGACGCCGAACATCTGCCAGAAGGCCCTCCGGTTTAATTCCAAGGCCGCGCATCGGTCGCTCTCATCCGCTTGTCCGCGGCCCCTTCCTGCGCCTCGCGGCCCTCCTTTCCAATCCCCACTCACGCTGCATTCGTCCGATCCGCATTTGGTCGGTCCTCCCAGACCGCGCTGCCTACGGGATAGGCACCTGCGCAGTCTGGGAATCCGGTGGGGAACAATATCTATCTGGGGGGGCTAATACTAGTAAAGAAGAACTGCCTCATGTCGCAAGTCTTGGTCTCTAAGATTTTCAAAGAATCTTCGAAACGAAGAAATCGCAAGCCCTGGTCCCGACGATGCTGGGTGGAAGCTCGCAGGCTGCGCGGCGATTACGAGCACTATGCGATAGACCCTGAGGCTTCCCAGTGGATGTTGTGTGGGCTGAGGATTGAGGAATCTTGAGGAGGCGTTAAGGGTTGGGGCTCAAGGCCCTCTAGTCTTGGCTCGGGGGGGCGTGTTTTCAAGAGGGCTGTAGTCTTGCTTTTCTTGGGGGTCTTTTGGTAAAGGGGCATAGGTTCAGAAACACGCGTGACTGCTACCTAGGCTTTTTTCGCCAGTTTGCTTGCTTTTTTTTTGATTGAGAGGGTTGTACTTGAAAGTTCCAGGGATTGCTGTTTGTTTCGTTGTAGGTGTGGGGTGGGGGCGGGGGCGGGGGGGGTGAAGTTGAAAGGCAAGCCAACGATAGATCATGAGGATTTGGGGCTCTGTTGAGGCGAGGGCTCGGATTGCGGCTAAGGCTTAGGAGCCTTTTAGGGCTGATATGAAGTAGGGTTTCTATTTCTTGTGCACCCAAAAGGACACCAGGTATATACACTCACCAATATTAAACAGGAACCTTATATACACTCACAAAGAACAGAAACATAAACCCTGCTTCATATCGGCTCAGAGATCAAGTCGCCACATATCAGGGCGAAGATCCTCCATGCCATGGGTCCTGAATCATCGGGTTCTTAAGGGATGGAGGGTTCAAGGGGGGGTAGGTAGGGAAGTTTAGGGAAGCTTAGGGAGCCTGAGGGAGTAGTAGGGGGTATGAGGGAACCTTTACATACCTTTTTGAACCCCCCTCCCTTAAGAACGCAATAAACTGAACACAAATTCCTGGACCCCGACCTTTGTGACCAGCTTGAATGTCCCAAGCCGCGCGACTCACCAGCATGCCGAAACTTAACCTGTCGCTTGCAGGATACCTGGCGGCCACACAGGACTTCCTTTTCGGAGAGAGAGAGAGAGAGAGAGAGAGAGAGAGAGGGTGTTGCACCGCTTCTGGTTTGCCGGGCTGCTGGGTGTTCCCCAAGGTGGCTCAGGGTGAGCATGGAGGATTCGAAGTTTAGGACTCTAGTTGAGTGAGGTTTGCGTTTGAGCTTCAACCCTGAAGCCTGCATGTGGAGTTGCAGTAGCACACCTGCTAAAAAAACCTTGCTGGTAAAATGGTGTCGAGCAAAGCGCAATAGTCAAGTATGGTATACTGGCAACGAGTAAGCCTCAACCCTCAACCCTCAACCCTCAACCCTCAACCCTCAACCCTCAACCCTCAACCCTCAACCCTCAACCCTCAACCCTCAACCCGAAACCCTCAACCCTCAACCCTCAACCCTCAACCCTCAACCCTCAACCCTCAACCCGAAACCCGAAACCCGAAACCCGAAACCCGAAACCCTAAACCCTAAACCCTAAACCCTAAACCCTAAACCCTAAACCCTAAACCCTAAACCCTAAACCCTAAACCCTAAACCCTAAACCCTAAGCCCAGAGTTGACGGATGTACTCGTCGCTGCCAGTATCACCTCGGTGCTCCTGTATGGCGCACGGCGGGTTTGTCGTTGTTGTGCTCCGTTGGTCTGGAGCCCGAATCCTAAGCCTAAATCACCAACCAAATCCGACCCCCCTCCCCCTCCCTGGTCTTTTATGAGTCGCTCTGTTTGTCGAGGCTCCTTCCGGGGAGCATGGTTCATTCTCGCAGTCTTGCGCAGTTTGGGGTGAGCTCATGTTTGTTCGCGTTCCTGCGGAAGTTACACTCGACTCTATCGCCCATACAAATTTCCCGAGCAGGAAGCATGTTCCAAATACCTCTAAACCCTAAACCCTGAAACCTGAACCCTGAACCCTGAATCCTGAACCCTGAACCCTGAACCCTGAACCCTGAACCCTGAAACCTAACACCCTCATCCCTAAGCCTCACACCCGGATGGCATGAGTGGGCTGACCTCAGGAAGCCCTACGTGGAGCTGCTCTCCGAAGCTTGGGAGCCGGGGGCCCCTAACCGCGGGATTCTGGTTGGGATGCTTTCTTGGGTGCTTTCTTGGGATGCTTCGACTTTCAAGGGACTCAGTTGCCGCTCCTTTTGGTGTTGTTCTTGGTCCCAGGGCGCTCAAAGTGATCTGCCGTCACTCCTCTTACACTGTTGCAGGGATATTTAGAGTGTTTTCCTTATCATCACCTTCGCCTTCTCGCGAAGGCTCAGAGTTTTGGAGTCTGCCTGAGCATATCCCACAGGATCTTTCAGTTCCCCCCCCCCCCGCTCCCCCACCCCCCACTGCAGGAACTTTGCTCAACCTCATCTTCTGGGATGCTCCCCCCTTAACGGGGAATTGAAGTACCCTCGGTTAGAATCCCGATTGAAGGATCAGCCCCGCAGATGGGAGAGGGGGTACCTCAATGGGGTCCCGTTTCATAAGGGGGGGGGATCTTACTTATGTGGGGGGTTAGGATAAGAGGTCCCCTGTTTTCGTAAGCTCCCAGAAGCCTGATCATTGGAGTGGGCAAGGTTCTCTCACGCCTGGAGCTTCGAACCGGAGCACAATCCAAACCGGCTTGGCGCCCAGGAGGGCAGGGTGTGGGGAGAGCCTCAAGCTCCAAGTCACAAAAGCCCAAAAAGCAAGCAAAGAAGCCCCCCGGAAATCCCCAAACAGTTTGAAGGTTCAGTTAGCCGGGTTCCGGAGGTTTGTGCTGAGCGGTCCTTGCCCCCTCCCCCTTCTTGTAAGGGATTGTAAGGGAGGCCGTAGGAACAACCTCGAGTGAAGCCAAGGCCTGCGCCTCCCAAAGGGGACCCAGGAGGCCGGTTCAAGGGGCGCTTTTTGTCACACATGATTTAGGTCCTCTCTTGGGATTGCTTGTGTGTGTGGGGAGAGAGAGAGAGGGCACGGTGATGTGGTTCCAAGCTTAAAGGGTTCAGGCCGTGTTTCGGGGGATTGGTAGGATCGACAGGGTTGACAGGCTTTTTCGAAGGGAGGTCTTATGCAAGAGGTCATGCAGACACTCTGAGCGGAGGTTCGAACAAAGCACGAAAAGGCTCGGGTTCCACTCCGCGGGTGGGCTTCGGCAAGTAGAGGCATCGAAAGGAATGAAAGACAAACCTAGAAAGGCCTCCTTCTTTTAGTTGAGGGCCCGGGCCCTGCCTCCTTGCGATGGAAAGTCCCAACCCGCAGGAGTCGCGACCTTTCGGGCCGAGCCAGCCCGCTTCGGGGTCAGGGGTCGGGAGTCTTTTGGGGTTGAGCTTGGGATGTTCCCCCGTATACTAACAGTCCTTAAGATTCGAGTACCCCCTATTTTTATCCCTTTTTAAGGAGCTGTTAGTATAAGGGGCAGCATCCCAGGGTTGAGCCTTGGGAGATGGTGAGTGGGGAGCCTTTTGAGGAGGCTGTGGGGGCTTTTCTGGGGACGTGCAAGGCCTGAAAGCAAGAAACCTAGAGTGGCACAAGTGTGGCTCTTCAGGATTCGGGGCTTCGGGCCCTCGAGCTGCATTGGGAAATGCTGGCAATGCAGGCCTTTGATGGCCACGCCTATGGTGACAGATGACAGATGCTCTTCTTTGACAGCTAGTTACTCTTCCCTGTGTGTGCCCGTGTGAGCTTTTCTGGGGTTAAGATAGTCGGGCATGGAGTTGTGCTGGAGCGAGTGTAGCGGCCAAAGGCGCGGTAGAGTTGTTTGTTTTTGTGCAAGCTGCCGAAAATCTTGCGAAGTTGTGTGTACATGTGTGTACCAACACAGGCGTTCAAGTGATTGAGGGCTGAGATTCCTCGAGACTGGCTACACTCGGCTAGACCACTGCATATGGTCGAGGCTAGACTACTGCAGAAGAGAGAGGTGGTTGTTAAAATCCGCTTTGCAGTGGAGGCAGAGGGGCAGAACATAGGGGCAGAACAACGGGCAGAACATAGGGGCAGAACATAGGGACAGAACATAGGCTACGAGTTACGAGACACTGCAATCAGTGCTCCCTCTCAAGAGCTGCAGCCGGAGGTAGCAAGGCTTGCCAGAAAATCTCCCAAGAAGGACCCCCAAAATGCACGAGCTCCCTGATGGCAGGTGGAGCACGCATCAGAGCGCAGCTTCTCAGAGGAGACCTCAGCATCCATGGGGGCCTTTTGCAAACCGTTTGATTTCTCTGAGTTGTTGTGGCATCCTTCAAGTCTCCGCGTTTGCAAAGAGGGTTTAGGGTTTAGGGTTTAGGGTTTAGGGTTTGGGGTTTGGGGTTTGGGGTTTAGGGTTTGGGGTTTGGGGTTTGGGGTTTGGGGTTTGGGGTTTAGGGTCATGGCAATACGAGAGCTACCCTAGTTAAACCGTCAGCTACCCTCGACCCTTTCTTGCTTCTCTTGCGCCTCAATCGTCACCCCAGCTCCCCCTGAAACATCTGCGAGGGGAGACCTTCATCTTCTCTCTCAGGTGGCCGTGGGAGGCCAATCGCAGGCACGTTCTGTTAGGGCTCTCTTCAGGAGGGCTTTGCGCGAAGACAGGGCATGACAGGGCTGTGTAAGCGCGACCTCAAGCTGGAGCTGCGAGTTACTGTCGATGGCTGAAATGCAGCTAGGCAAGGCGTGAGCAGCATCAACAACGACAAAGACAAGCACAGAGACCGAGACAGGCAAGGACACAAACCAACAAGCAAGCAAGCAGACAACCACGCAGCTGGCAGATGGCTGTCGTTCCGGTAGCTATTTGGGTGCCAGTTCTTCTGAACAAGAGAGAAGCTCAGCTGGTGTCTTAAGTTCGAGTATTTATCCTTCGCCACTGTCCATGTCCTGCTTGTTTTGCAGGACATGCGTCGATGGCTGTCAGGGCGCAGCGGTGCCGGCGAGGTCTGGTTTGGCATGGGGCGTTTGTGGCTCTACCCAACATCTGGCAGAGAAGTTGTGTGGACGTGTACTTCCAGCTCTGGAATGCCCTGGTATGCCAATGTCAGTGTTAGAAATATCCCCTGAACACACGTCTGAACGTCATCGAAGCTCGTACTAATAAGCGGAGCGCGGGGGTGGGGGGGTGGGGCGGGCTCTCCGCAAGTTCGGGTCCGCTTGGTTTTTGTTGCTCATGATGTTGCTGCCTGCAGGAACCATATGTGCTCGAGCTTCGCGTGGTCGAGGAAGAGAGGCAGCCCAGCCCTCTCGATAGGGGATTTAGGGTTAGGGCTTAGGGTTTAGGGTTTAGGGTTTAGGGTTCAGGGTTAGGGTTTAGGGTTTAGGGTTTGGGGTTTGGGGTTTGGGGTTTAGGGTTTGGGGTTTGGGGTTTGGGGTTTAGGGTTTAGGGTTAGGCTTTGGGGTTTAGTTTAGGGTTTAGGGTTTAGGCTTTGGGGTTTAGGGTTTAGGGTTTAGGGTTTAGGGTTTGGGGTTTGGGGTTTGGGGTTTAGGGTTCAGGGTTTAGGGCTTAGGGCTTAGGGCTTAGGGCTTAGGGTTTAGGGTTTAGGGTTTAGGGTTCAGGGTTTAGGGTTTAGGGTTTGGGGTTTGGGGTTTGGGGTTTAGGGTTTGGGGTTTGGGGTTTAGGGTTTAGGGTTTAGGGTTTAGGGTTTAGGCTTTAGGGTTTAGGGTTTAGGCTTTGGGGTTTAGGGTTTAGGGTTTAGGGTTGAGGGTTTAGGGTTTAGGGCTGAGGGCTTAGGGTTTAGGGCTTGGGGCTTAGGGCTTCGGGCTTAGGGCTTAGGGCTTAGGGCTTAGGGCTTAGGGTTTATTAGGGTCTATTAGGGTTTATTAGGGTTTATTAGGGTTTATTAGGGTTTATTAGGGTTTTATTAGGGTTTTATTAGGGTTTATTATGGTTTATTAGGGTTTATTAGGGTTTATTAGGGTTTATTAGTGTTTAGGGTTTCGGGTTTCGGGTTTCGGGTTTAGGGTTTAGGGTTTCGGGTTTAGGGGAATCTCCGCAGAACCTGAACCCTGAACCCTAAACCCTAAATTAAACCCTATACCCTAAACCCTGAACCCTGAACCCTGAATCCTGAACCCTAAACCCTGAACCCTGAACCCTGAAGCCTGAACCCTGAACCCTGAACCTGAACCCTGAACCCTGAACCCTGAACCCTCAACCCTAAACCCTAAACCCTTAACCCCAAACCTCAAACCCTAAACCCCCAAACCCTAAACCCTGAACCCTGAACCCCTGAACCCTGAACCCTGAACCCTAAACCCTGAACCCTGAACCCTGAACCCTGAACCCTGAACCCTGAACCCTGAACCCTGAACCCTAAACCCTAAACCCTAAACCCTGCTCGATCCCTTGATTGCCGGAGAGGCGCTGGGACTTTCGCTTCGGGCGCGTGTCGAAGCTCGGCTCGGCGACCTGGAGGTGCCGCGAGCTTCTATCACTAGGCAGGCTTACTTTCCCTCATTTGGGTTTAAGAGGATCATGTTCAGGAATATTATATCAGAGGGTTTGAGGGCCATCTTCGATCAGTTGTTAACCAACAACGGCCAGGTTTTGAGAGGCCTCAATCGGACCTTCTCAGCGGGGTTAGGGCAGGGCACTGTTGGGTGTGGGGAGTGTGGGGGGTCTCGGGTGTATAGGGGGGTGTGGAGGTTTAGGGTTGAGGCTTGAGGCTTGAGGCTTGAGGGTTGAGGGTTGAGGGTTGAGGGTTGAGGGTTGAGGGTTGAGGGTTGAGGGTCAAGGGCTTCCTGGTGCGCAGGGCTGTTGCAGGCTTTGGGCACCAGGGTTTGGCAAAAGACCTCTCGCTCTTTCCGAGGGCTTTCAAATCCCCAAGCCCTTGTTTCGGGTTCAGGGCGCTACCCTAAATCCTAAACCCTAAACCCGAAACTCCAAGCCCTAAACCCTAAACACCCCAAAAACCCCAAAAACCCCAAAAACACCAAAACCCCAAAAACCCCAAAAACCCCCCAAAAAACTCCCCAAAAACCCTGAAAAGCCTGAAAAGCCTGAAAAGCCTGAAAAGCCTAAAAACCCTAAAAAGCCTCAAACCCTCAAACCCTCAAACCCTCAAACCCTCAAACCCTCAAACCCTCAAACCCTCAAACCCTCAAACCCTCAAACCCTCAAACCCTCAAACCCTAAAACCCTCAAACCCTCCAACCCTCAAACCCTCACCCTCAACCCTCAAACCCTCAACCCTCAAACCCTCAAAACCCTCCACCCTCAACCCTCACCCTCAAAAACCTCAAACCTCACCTCAACCCTCAAAACCCTCCCTCAAAAACCTCAAACCCTCAAACCTCAAACCCCTCAAACCCTCAAACCCTCAAAAAACCCTCAAACCCTCAAACCCTCAAAAACGAAACCCTAAACCCTCAAACCCTCAAACCCTCAAACCCTCAAACCCTCAAACCCTCAAACCCTCAAACCCTCAAACCCTCAAACCCTCAAACCCTCAAACCCTCAAACCTCAAACCTCAAACCCTCAAAAAACCCTCAAACCCTCAAACCCTCAAACCCTCAAACCCTCAAACCCTCAAACCCTCAAACCCTCAAACCCTCAAACCCTCAAACCCTCAAACCCTCAAACCCTCAAACCCTCAAACCCTCAAACCCTCAAACCCTCAAACCCTCAAACCCTCAAACCTTCAAACCCTAGAACCCTAAAATCCTCAAAACCCTAAAACCCTAAACCCGAAAATTCTGGACCCTAAAGCAGAGGATTGTTTGGGGTTGAATCTCCAGCCCCCAGGCCGACGAATGTCAACAAAGAGCCGCCTCCCACACCCCTCCCATCCTCCTCGCCTACTATTTGCTTAAGAACCCCCCCAACCAACCAAAAAAAAAAGATAACAAAAAGATAACAAAATAAAATAATGATCTCTAAATTGCCCTGAGAAGGAAGAATGTTGTTATTTTTTGGGAGGTCTGTAAGCAATTGGTAGTCCCCTCTCTCTCTCTCTCTCTGTGGTTCTTGCGGCCCCTGGAGGCCGCTGCTGTGGTCCTGTGAACGTCACACCATCTTCTGGCTGGCTTGCCGGGGTGCTTGGAGACTGCCCTTGGAGCCAGGATTCCTCTCTGGTCTTATAGGGTTTAAGGGTTAAGGGTTTAGGGTTTAGGGTTTAGGGTTTATCACAGGAGTTGAGGTAGGTGCTGGGGAGGGACGTCTGTCGGGACTAGGGCCTCTTGGGTTTCAAGATGGTGCTCGGCAGAGGAGTGTGTGGTGTGAAAGAGTCGAGTGCTGCTGCTTCAGAAGTTTTGGCGTCCACGGCGAGAGGTCCCGACTGCAGACGAAAGGGTTTGTGCCTTGCATCGGCGCAATACATCTTCAAAGTCTTTTTCGGGCATTTATGAGTCACCACGGCAAGGAGTCGCACAAACCTTCAGGAAAAACCCTGAGAGCCCAGCAGACCTCCAGGTTTCGTCGGCCGCGAGGATGGCAAGAACTACCTACAAGCAGGACTGCCATTGTGTGAACCCAAATGCTTAAGACAGCACTCGGCCGGATCGTACTATGAGCTATAATCGTAGCAGCAGTATTGTGCCAAGCTGCAAGGGCATGGCCCCATCAACACACACTTGCAGCAATCCTTCTGCTTCGCTTGAGATCAGTGGCGCTCTTGCTGACTTGGCCGGAAATTGCTGCTCATCAGCATACCTAACATCCGAAGTTCTGTTGCAACAGGCCTGGACATTTTTCCGGAGAAGCGGTTCTTCTCCGCCCGACTTGCGAGCTTTCCGAAGGCCTTTGCTTGCGCTTCTATGAAGTTAATTGGGGTGGAGTGGCAGCATGGCAATCAATGACTTCGTCCTTTCAGCCTAGCATCTTGTTGCCGATATGTGCCTGAAACCTATCAGATGCTGGGATTTGGTGTGCCAGCAGGAGCCGCGGCCTCAGCCGTCAAGAGCTTTACATAGTTGCAAGTTTTCGAAAAGGCTGCGCCCGAGGCCGGGCAGCGCAGGCAGCAGCCCAGGTGCTCGTGAGAGGGCGGCTCAACATTTGTGCGCAAATGCTGGCTCGCGCGGCTTACGATGTTTGGGAGAAAGTCGGGAGGGGCAGCCGGGCTCATGCAGCTTTGGAAAAGGGCTGGCCTACGGCTCCCGGCAACGGGCTCCAAAAAGCGTACGTGCGTACGTGCGTACGTGCGTAAGTGTGCGGTCAACAAGTGTGTTCCCGGCTGGCTTTCCGTCAAGGAAAGGAGCCATGCGCGCCACCAAGGACAGCTGCGAATACCGGATGCCCCTCCATGCGCGCCAGAAGAAGTCCTGAGCAATTCTCGAAAGCTTGGCTTTGATAGTCCTACATCTCGAAGTAACACTCTGCGCTCACGTGAAACTAATTCTTGATGCCAAACTGCATTCCTTAATGCTCTAAACCCCCTACGTCCCCAACCTTCCAAGCCCAATAACTTCCCAAATGAATCCTTAGTCCCCTGAAACTGCAGCCCCCTAACACTCGTAAAATCATTCAACCAAAACCCAGAAGCCCCTCGTCTCTCTAAACGTAAAATCCGTTGACCCCTTGATCTCTCAAGAAACCTTCCACAGCCGCAATGAGCCCAGTCTCCCGGACCTTTCTTCGTACGTGACGTGGTCCTCTTTGGCCGAGGCACTACAGGAATAGCCCTAAACTCTAAAGCCAAAAATGGGTGTTTAGAGCTTGGGGTTTCGGGGCTGTGCGTTTTGAAGTGGGCTTTAGTTGCGTTGTATATAAGCGGTTGGGGATTTTAGGGTTTTGCAGGTACGCGTGTTCGAGGTTTGAGTGGGTCTGGATGGGTTTCTGAACTTGGTGCATTCCCTTCTCGGAATCAATCATGCATAGACAGCCTTTGCTATCCTCACACAACCCTCGCCAGCACCACCAAAAGGAGCTCCGAAGCTCGATCACAACATAAACCCTCCGCAATAAGACCCCGCACCGTGCCCCAAAATGAATCAACAAGCAACGCGAACGACCGAACCGCCACAAACGCTCGCCAAACTCCTGCCAAGCCCCGATCACGATGTCACTCCCCACAGCCGCCCCCCCGAAACCCTAAACCCTAAACCCTAAACCCTAAACCCTAAACCCTAAACCCTAAACCCTAAACCTTAAACCCTAAACCCTAAACCCTAAACCCTAAACCCTAAACCCTAAACCCTGAACCCTGAACCCTGAACCCTGAACCCTGAACCCTGAACCCTGAACCCTGAACCCTGAACCCTGAACCCTGAACCCTGAACCCTGAACCCTGAACCCTGAACCCTGAACCCTGAACCCTGAACCCTGAACCCTGAACCCTGAACCCTGAACCCTGAACCCTGAACCCTGAACCCTAAACCCTAAAGGGAGCGAGCCTTCCCGCAGGTGCTCTGCGTGCTGCCCCGTTCGCTGGCCGCGACCACTTCGTCGAGGTGGCTGTGGGGGTTTTTCAGGGTTACGGCGTCTGGTCTTAGGGGTCTAAGGCTTTAAAGGTTTTGGGCCTTCAAAGATTTCAGTTGGTTGGAAAAGAACACACCATACGCACTTAGAGGACGCATGCCAACGGAGAAGCATTTTTTCTCGAACCCCTGAAACGGGGAATGTGCAGCCACTTCCCCAGTTCCGAGATGAATGAAAACAACCCCCTAACACCCGGTACGGCCAGCCCCAAAGCTGTATACGTTACAGCCAGGTGCCCCTGACGCGCCGCCAAGCGGAGGCCGCACTGCGCAAGGAGAAGCTGGCGGTGGAGGCAGATAGGGCTTCAGGGTTGAGGGAGCCGATCTCCGAGTTGTTGCCAAACTCCTGGATTTGTTTTTGCTGCATCTGTGCGGATGCCCAGCTGGCCTCTCGATACAGGGACGTCTCCTCGCAAGTCTAGAGGACAGGATGTGCCACAGAATGCCACAAACAAAGTCGTCTTCTTGCTGCCACTCGCGCGTAGATCTGTGGGCTTTGATGTTTCAACGCGTGCGTTTGTGCGTGTGTAGCAGAGTTCACCTCGCGTGCATGATATATAACGTACGGGGCGTTTGCCAAACCACCAATAGAAATGACTCTATTGTTCTTGTCACCGCCCCATTCCGTCGTTCGCACATGCAATTGGGTTTCATGAGCCATTCATTCATACATTCAATGGCGGCTTCGATGTGTGCTTCGTTCTATCGATCATGATTTAGGTAGCAGTTGAGCACGGCTGTTGCAGGGGCGACTGTGCTTCTGTGAGTTTGGAAAGTTCCCTTCGTGAATGGATGCTGTTCTACCACAGCCAACAGATCTCTTGATCAACTCCTGGACTTTAAAGAGCAAATACTCACTATGCGAATACAGCCACGTGGCAGAGGTATTTGCCCTCAGCGGCGAAGATGAGGAAGAGAAGGCCCCGCAGACGGTCAGCAGACTGCAGCTGGCTGGTGCTCTTCTTAAAGAAGAATGAGGCCTAAACCTTGTATCCCCAACCGCGACGAATCCTCCAAGCCAAAGACCCTGAGACCTTCAAACCGTAAATCCGCCCTCGAAACTTCAAGCCCCGAGATCCTACAGAAGATTCGGAGCAGCTGATCGAAGCATGCATCGTCCTTGGGGCAGCGACAACATTCCTAATGCTTTGGGTGCCTAGTCCCAGAAGCCGAGCGCCCTACACCCGACAGGCCTTTATGGGCCCTGATATTCTGGGCTTCGGCACGAAGCTAGATCGCAAAATCTTCGCAAGGTTTCATTTATGCGACACTGCTTCGCAGATGCTCTGCGTGAGAGCTGCTGAGCATTTGCCACACCAGCTTCTGTCGCCTCCAAGTAGCAAGTAGTGTCTGATGTCGCTCGCTCCCTGCTATGTTTGATTGAGTTTATTTGTATACCCCTGGCCCAGACTCTCAGGGTGCATTTGTGCATACGTCTCTACGCACGCGTCTGGCAACAGTGTGGTCGTGGAGCCCTGGACCCTCGTGCAGCATCGGAAACTGAGCACCTAACACCTCATGTTCTACCTGAACCTCAGCCTTCAGAAGTCCTCGCGATTCTCTGCGGTTTGAGAGGGTATCTGTCTAACGCAGGAGACCCGGGAGGACCTCGGCAGGACGCCTTGGCGCGGGGACCAAGCACAAGCACACGCGCGCGCACACGCCAACGCACGCGCACAAGCACGTTCAATGCTGAAGAAGCTTCTGAATCTTAAGCGCTCTGGCCCTGTCCAAAGTCCTGCTCCAGCACTCTGCACCATCTAAGCTCCAAAAGCCAACTCTCTCTATCTCTCTCTCTCTTTCTCTCTCTCTCTCTCCCTCTCCCTCTCCCTCTCCCTCTCCCTCTCCCTCTCCCTCTCCCTCTCCCTCTCCCTCTCTCTCTCTCTCTCTCTCTCTCTCTCTCTCTCTCCCTACTCTCTCTCTCCTCTCTCTCTCTCTCTCTCTCTCTCTCTCTCTCTCTCTCTCTCTCTCTCTCTCTCTCTCTCTCTCTCTCTCTCTCTCTCTCTCTCTCTCTCTCTCTCTCTCTCCCCCCCCCTTTATTGAGCCTCCTCTGATTTTGCCCCTTCACACTAAGAAACCGAGCCTCCAAAGCTCCCAAGGCGCAAGATGTTCTCCGATGGCATCCTCGACGCACCCGCACCGGCGGAGGCCAAGGCCAGGTGCCGGAGGTCAAAAAGCCTTTGGGGCTTTAGGGTTTAGAGTTTTTGGTTTAGGGGCTAAATCCTTAAGCCCCAGGAGGAAACGGCCCTCCACGCTGTGTCGGGGGATTCTTTGAGCTGGTGTATTCAAAGCAAGGCCCGTTTAGGGTTTAGGCTGTAGGGAAGCCCTGAACGTAGGACACTAAGAAGACTCCAGACTCCAGGAGTGGAAAGCTCAAAGCCTTCCGCCTCAGGGTGATTTCATGGCACCATGGGTACCGGCCCCAAGCCCCTAAACGAGGACACCCATAATCAGATGGGGAGTGGGAAGCCCTCAGCAAAAATGGGGCGGTGTTGCTGGGTGGGTGGCAAACCCTAAACCCTAAACCCTAAACCCTAAACCCTAAACCCTAAACCCTAAACCCTAAACCCTAAACCCTAAACCCTAAACCCTAAACCCTAAACCCTAAACCCTAAACCCTAAACCCTAAACCCTAAACCCTAAACCCTAAACCCAAACCCTAAAACCCTAAACCCTAAACCCTAAACCCTAAACCCTAAACCCTAAACCCTAAACCCTAAACCCTAAACCCTAAACCCTAAACCCTAAACCCTAAACCCTAAACCCTAAACCCTAAACCCCCTAAACCCTAAACCCTAACCCTAAACCCTAAACCCTAAACCCTAAACCCTAAACCCTAAACCCTAAACCCTAAACCTAACCCTAAAACCTAAACCTAAACCTAAACCCTCAACCTAAACCCTAAACCCTAACCCTAAACCCTAACCCAAACCCAACCCTCAAACCTAACCCTAAACCCTAAACCCTAAACCCTAAACCCTAAACCCTACACCCTAACTAAACCTAAACCCTAAACCCTAAACCCCTAAACCCTAAACCCTAAACCCCCTAAACCCTAAAACCCAAACCCTAAACCCAACCTAAACCCTAAAACCCTAAACCCTAACCCTACCCTAAAAACCCTAAACCCTAAACCCTAAAACCCTAAACCCTACTAAAAACCCTAAACCCTAAACCCTAAACCCTAAACCCTAAACCCTAAACCCTAAACCCTAAACCCTAAACCCTAAACCCTAAACCCTAAACCCTAAACCCTAAACCCTAAACCCTAAACCCTAAACCCTAAACCCTAAACCCTAAACCCTAAACCCTAAACCCTAAACCCTAAACCCTAAAGGCTAAACCCTAAACTCAGGGCCTAGGCCGCCCCCCTACAGAAGGGGGGCGGCGCTTAAGCCCTTCGACCTCGATGGCGAAAGTCGACCCAGGTCGCTTGCCCGCCTCCTGCAGCCCGGAGGTCGGTAGCACCCACGATGGGCCCGGTACCGGAGCAGGTTCTCCCGGCAACCAGTACTGGTCCCCCTTAATAAAGTAAATACGGATGGGGCTGGCATTTCTGGGGAGGGTACCCCAAGGCCCCCAGGCCAGGAGGACCTGGACCCCTCACCGCAGCGTGTCCAGGGATGAGGGGGCCTCAGGCCAGGCCACGCAGGGCGGGTGCTCAAAAACCTGCTTTTTTGGTTTTGGCCTCCCCTCCCGGCCCCTGGGCCTCTTCTGGAATTGGGCCCCTGCCTAGCCTCACTCACTTTGGGCCCCTTGCTTTTTCCTCTGCGCCTCCTTAACTGGGCCGCTCTGGGCCCTCTGCCGGGCCCCTGGGCTGCCCAGACTGACCCTGTGGAGGCTTGTTTTTTGTGAAAAGCCGTGACGGAATGAAGAAGTTTTATGTAAAGAAAGCAGTTGGCTTGAGTTTAGGCCTAAACCCTAAAAGGAATAGGTTTGGGTGGCTTTGCCGCCTTGGACGGCGTGGGGTGGGAGAAAAGTGTTAGATGGCCTTCCACAATCGGGCCAAAGCTGCTCTTCGCACCTCACGACGCTTTCGAGCTTGTTCCAAAACCCAACCTTCACAGCATCTACGCCCTATCACAGCAAACCCTAAACCCTAAACCCTAAACCCTAAACCCTAAACCCTAAACCCTAAACCCTAAACCCTAAACCCTAAACCCTAAACCCTAAACCCTAAACTCTATACCTCTTTAAGACAGAGATGGGCACTGGATCCGGGACCTTTAAAGGTAGGTGAGTAGCGTAGACCCTGCCTGCAGGAGCCTTCGAAAGCCTTGTGCTTGGTGGCCTGCGAGTCCAGCGAGAATCCCCGGCCCGTGAGACCAGACCGTGAAGGGTGTTGAAAGGTTGAATGGTTTAGGGCTTGGGGTTGATGAGTTCAGGGTTTAAGGGTGTTCACTACCCGGATTTCTTTGGACCACGGAGCAGCTGGTGTCTGTTATGACCCAAGGAGTTGCGCCTGAGCCATCCTGAGCAATCCTTCTTTTTTGAAGCTCACAACAGGGCTCCCAGAAGCAAAATGCCGCCTCTCTCTCCAGCTCAGTGAAGCTCCCGGGGCTTTAAGGCCCCCCCCCACGCCTAAGCCCCCGCAGACGAAGCCCCCGGAATTGACAGGCCCGTTTTCAACGTTTGCTACTGTTAGACGCTCTGAGCATCGAAGCCAGGAGAGCCTCCGAGCTGTTGAGGGTCGTTTTGCAGCGGCCCAGCATAGCATGTGGACAGTTCAAACTCGCACCTACTTGAGGCTACTTGAGGGTTTGCGGGTTGTGCGAAACCTCGGTTACAAATGTCTTCATTCAGGCTATAAGGCGACTTTTCTGGTGTATATCTTGAATTATTTTGTTTTTTGATATCCTTTAAATACATTACTCATTATTAACTTCGATAGCCCGGCTAGAGTGCTGCGCCAAGTACCCTTGGGCCTCCATGCAGGCCCGGGCACCGCGGAACCCGAGAACTGGACTCGCTGCAGCTAGGATCCTGGCACATAGCAGTGCCCAGCTCCCCAGTTCCCCAGTGCCCAAGATGCCCAGCTCCCCAGTTCCCCCAAACGGAACCTCTTGGGCTGCCCAAAAAAAAAGCACGGGGTGCTCCGGCCCACGCTGCCAGGCACGCGGCGACTGTCGCAAGAAGGGTGAAGGGGCAGGTCGGGGGGTTCAGGTTTCATGTCAATTTTTCGGGTCAACAGGTTTTTTTTTTTTTTTTTCTTGGGGTTTGGGCTGGTTTAAGGTTTATGTGGTTCAGGTTCAGGGCTTTTTCGGTTTCGGACTAGAGTTGTGTGCAAGGCCACCTTGGGGTAAAAAGTGCTGTTACTCTGCCCGCTCGCCGGCTTGCGGTTGCCAACGAGCCTTCGAGCAGAAGCCGGCGTAAGTTTGGCAACCAGGTGGCCTTTAACTTTAATTGTCCGTGCAGCGGACCAATGAAGAGAGAAGAAGCCCCTGAACAGGTGTGTGGTGGTTTCAAGAATGCTGTAGAGTGTATGGAGTGTGGTTTTCTTGTACGCCGAAGGACAGCTGTGAGTTATCCTTAAATCTTCTGGTGCGCAAGCATCTCTTGCACTGTGTATCCACTGAGTACTTCAAGAAACCTGAGTTGCTTGAAGCTACTTGTGCTGTTGGTGTGTCGGGTTGGTGTGTCGGGACATTCTTGCTGCGGATGACTATAACTCGATAAGCCATGAGGGCTTTCAAGTCGAAGAGGGCTCCAGAAAGTTCAGGTCGTGCCAGGCCTTCTGAAGGTGTGGCCGCCGCCCGATGCAGGTGCCGGCCCCCATCATCCCCCGCACTTTTGGGGCTTCTGGGGGGCTTTGGGCTTTCGAGGCTTTCGGGGCTTTCGGGTCTTTTGGGGCTTTTGGGGCTTCTGGGGCTTCCGATCTTCAGATGTTGAAAGTAAGTCTCTGTGGGTTTTGGGACTTTGGGGTTTTCGAGGTCGCAGGGTTTTCGGACTTTGGCATCTGCTTTTGCGGGAGTGATTCTGAAGCTGGAGCCATGAGGAAGGAAGGATCGCCGAGAACAACGGAAACACCTTGGGGATGTTCACCCTTATACTCACAGCTCCAAAAAAAATTGGGAGGGGGCACTGTAATCCCTATTTCGGACTGTCAAGTATAAGGGGGAACATATCAAGTAACGCTAAGCAGCCCTCAGTCTTTTGACCCGAATCCCCGAAACAGAGGTGCTGCAGCCGATGGCGTGGAGGCGCTTGATGGCCTGCAGGGTGTTGGGGGCTTCAGGGTCTCGGGGCGGTTGTTCTTCCGGAGTTGCGGGAAGTTGTCTGGCTTCTGCCTAGGATTCTATGGGGTGTGGCCCATAGAGTTGCCGAGGTGACAGGTCCGCCTGGAAAAGCGCCCCGAACCGATCGGAAGATGATAGTCGGTTTAGGGCTTAGGGTTCGACGGCTTCTGGGCTTCTCCAGGCATACCCCGCATCTTGGATAAAGGCGCGTTCTGCTGCGGGCATCGCCGCATTGAGGCCTTGGGAGTCGACGCAAAGCCTCTTAGTTTCTTAAATTGGGTGCATGTCTTTATCTCAGCCGGATGCATTGCCAACGGCCTAGTTCAGCCTTATATGTCAGGAATCGTAGATTTAAAAGAATTGGTCGTAAGAATCAAGCAAGAGCAAGCATCAAAACAACACAGAATTCCGCCAAGAAAGAGGCAGAGAGAGAAAGACAGAAATCAAGAAGGCTTGCAGCTCGAACCTCCCCTCAACCCGAAACGTTGCTTTCAGCAAGCCCGCGCCCTGAGCCTTTGAGCCTTCCGAGAACAGTGGCGCCAGTTCCGAAGGCCGCGAAGCAGTTCCTGGATTCGCAGGAGAAGGCACCAGAGCCGCGGTTTGAGCTTGCGAGGTTCATTGGCTTCGGGGCCCGTCTTGCCGAAAACATGCGCAAAAGCTACCAGATCCAAGGTGCCTGAGCCATGCCAAGTAGCACACCTCTCCCCATCTCAAACCTTATCAAACCTTCAAACCCTAAAGCCCAAAGATCCGGAACCCGAAGCTCGGAAATCTTGAACACTGAGCCTTACCTACTATTTGCTTAAGAACCCGCAAAACATATTGCCCTTATAAGGAAGAAGATGTTTTCTTTTTGGGGGGTTCTTAAGCAAATAGTAGCTACACTCTTCCATGGCTGGGCCATGCTCGGCCGCAGGCGTTGCAAGCGCTGAGCGCCGAAACTGTGCGAGAAGTGGGCCTCTTCAAGGAGCTTTACACTTTGTGGTACTTTACTGTAACTTTAGATCCTTACCTTTTTTGGGTTTATTGGGTTTTTTTATAAGGTAGTTAAAAGTTTAATTTATAGCTACCCTCCTGAGTGCAGCCAAGTACACTTACTGTTGGTTAGTAGGGAATGAGGGAATGAGGTACCCCATATAACCCCTGCATGGATATTTGGTACCTCATCCCCTCATTCCCTACTATCCAGCAAGCACGCAAGTCGAGCCTCTGCATCTGGTGGGGGCTCTCTGCATTGGCGCCCGCGGCTTCTTTCCGGGCTTTGACAGCTTTGCCCCGCTCCTCCGCTCCTGTATAGGGCCTCAACCTGAAACCCTCCCGGAGCAGGAGCACCTGATCCGAACGACGCGCCACCTCGAGGGATCGCGCATCGCGCGGAGTGCGGCCATGCCCCCTTGGCTTGAACGTTTCGAATATGAGGAGTTGAGGAGTTAAGCAGGGGCTTGGGCCCGAGTCTTGGCTCCAGATGGCGAGGAGTTCGTGTGGGGAAAGCTGAGGGTTTTGGGCACTTTGGGCACTTTGGGCACTTTGGGCACTTTGGGCACTTTGGGCACTTTGGGCACTTTGGGCACTTTGGGCACCTGTGTGTTACGCGATGCTAAGTGTGTCCGGGTTTAGAGGTTGAGGTGCAGGCTCAGTGCCTTTTTCCTAAAGTCCTTGAACCCGAAACCTACGAGCTGTGAGGGCCAGCATAATCCTGAGGCTCAAGACCGCCCATGCCCCCAACCCCCAGACCCCAACCCCCACCCCCCAACTCCCCAACCCCTAACCCCCAACCCCCCAAAAGGTTGATAGTTGCGCTGCCGATCCTAAGATAAGGCTTGGAACGAATGGTAGCATCAGCTGTTCCCCTTCACAGATCCAAGGCGGATGATCCTCTCAGGCGCCTGTGCCCTTCGGTTGGGGAGCGTTTGGGGTTTACGAAAATGGGGGGGCACCTTATTGGGTCCTTATTCGGAATCCTACTATTTTGGGGTCTATATTAAGGATCCCTTTATTTTCGTAAACACCCATTTGTTCAGTGGCCTCCAACAAAGCCTAAGCTTCCTAAACCTCTGAGCCCCGAAACCATAGCGATGACTTAGAAACCACTACATTTGCATCTGGAATTGCCTGCCTTGAGACTGGAAGGGGCCCGTACCGTGCTCATGAACTTCTTGCTAGGTTCCGTCTGGAGTTCAAGGTTGAGGCTCTCGGTCCACTTGAGACCCTGCAGATTCAGGAGTTTTAGTTTTCGCCGATACAGCTGCGCAGCTGCTGGCTCCCAGATCAAGAGCAAGCCTAGCTGATGCTGACAGAGCGGTGTTCTGCAGAACACAGATGGTGCAACCACAGCCATGCCAGAGCAATGAGAACCCCCGCTGCATCGCCAGAAAGATGCTGGGCAAGTGCACGGATGCTCGTCGTGTAAACATGAGCTACAGTGTCTATGCATACACCTGGAATCCTCCTACCCTATCCAAACAGCCGAACGCCTTCTCCAAACACTTGCGCCGTTGTTTTTATTTCAGGACCAGAACTAGCACTGACGCTTGAAGACCCCAAGTTCCGAAGTATACGCCCGCACACCCCCCGAAACACCCGACGCAACCAGAGCAGAAGCATAATATGGGGGGTCGGAATAATCACTAGTAGTATTCCCATATGCCCCTTTATAACTAGTGTAACATGGCCTGCCCAAAACCCTCCTAAACCCTAAACCCTAAACCCTAAACCCCCTAAACCCTCCTAAACCCTAAACCCTAAACCCTCCTAAACCCTCCTAAACCCTCCTAAACCCTCCTAAACCCTCCTAAACCCTCCTAAACCCTCCTAAACCCTCCTAAACCCTCCTAAACCCTCCTAAACCCTCCTAAACCCTCCTAAACCCTACTAAACCCTACTAAACCCTACTAAACCCTACTAAACCCTACTAAACCCTATTAAACCCTACTAAACCCTACTAAACCCTACTAAACCCTAAACCCTAAACCCTAAGCACGATCCATGGCCATGGCCGCAGCCGCCCCCGGAGCGTGCGATGACCAGGCTCCTTGGTTCAGGGGAGGTACGCTTTTGCTTACTGCTGGTTCGTAGGGAAATGAGGGAATGAGGTACCCTATACAGTCCCTTAAAGGGGTATATATCGGGGAGGATAGAGTCTTTTGGGCTCAGGGTTTCGGTGAAGATCATCAGAGTCTGGGCCTAAGGCTTATGCTGCAAGTTTTTGGGGTTCAAGGCACTGTCATGTGACAGAGCCTTTGTCATAGACGATTGCTACAGCAACAGCCCAGAAGCCCGGCCAACCTCACGTTGTCTCTGTTGTGGGTTGCTGTCTCTCCATGACCAAGCCATGCACAGCGAGGATTTGCTGAATCCTTGTTTCGCTCAGTCATAGCATCTCATGGCCCTGCTTAAGTCTGAGCTCTCTCTTTTGGTTCAGCCACTCCAGGCGTGGACTGTCGTCGAGACCCGGGAGCTACAACCTGACGCGCCTCGAGGGAAGCAAGACCTTGTTGGTGACGTTTATGGGGGAGAGATGAGGCATAGAGTTAAGGGCTTCCTGCCAGGTTGCCTTCTGGAATCCTTCTATTCGGCTCGTCTTTGGCCGCTTTCCCACTGTCCCACTCTTTCGAGCCTCCGCGGCCCTAAACCGTCCTGACCCTGAAAAGACCCCCTACAACCCCGGATCTAAACCCGCCTCGACTTGGGCACTGACGTTTAGGGTTTAGGGTTTAGGGTTTAGAGTTTAGGGTTTAGGGTTTAGGGTTTCGGGTTTCGGGTTTAGGGTTTATGCTCTCAACAGAGAAGGCGCGCTCCCGTAGCGCCCGCCACCCGCCCCACGCCACGCCCCCGGCCGCGCGTGCGGCTGCCGTGCGAGTGGAAGCAGCGGGCCCAGGCGCCAGGGAAAGGGGGGGGGGGGTGGGAGGGGAAGTGGGGTTTTGGGTTTTGGGTTTAGGGTTTAGGGTTTAAGGGGAATGGAGGTGGGGCAGCTCTTGACCACTCCGGTGTAGCTTCAGCAGACTCGTTCCTCGCAAAACGCAAGCAGGGCCAGGTGGATGAGTGGAGATATGCAGCTAGGGAGAAGAAAGTACGCAAGGTAAGTTCGCAAGTGAGTTTCCCCAGCCTCCAAGAGTTGTCTCCACGAGGGCGCTGGCTTCGCAGTGGCCACAAGCTACGCCAGCTACGCGCTCTGGAGGCCGGCCCGCCCAGCCCCCGCCCTTAATAAAAGCGCGCCCAGAACTCAACAGCTCTTCTGGCCCAGAAAGCCCAGCAGAAAGAGCAACCCAACTCGTGGTCTCCTTGCCATGACCCACATGCCCTCAAACCCAAGAAGCCCCGAAACCAGCTGGGGTCCCGAGCTGCGGCAAGAAACTGGAGATCCGGCGCCTCTCAGGCCGCGGACGTCTTCAGGGAGACACGCCGCCGAGAAGGACGCCAGAGCCCCCTCCCCTCTCCGCCCCTACTACTTTGACCCTTGAAGCTTGAAACCCTCACTGGGGGTTTTCCGAAGTTAGGGGTACCTCACTGGGGTCCCTCCCTATTATGTGGGATTCCTGCTTTTTTAGGGGTCCCTCATTCTCGTAAACCCCCAAATCTTCAATCCAATATCCAGCCTCCTAGGACAGCGACCTCAGCACGTGGGCAAATGCCGGGTGCACCTCCCGTGCAGGGGTGGAGTTTTTTTGGGTGGGGGGCTTCATCCCGTGAGGATGGTTGGGGCAAAAGGGCTTCTGGTGCTTCTGGTAGGGAGTTCAGGAGCATTCGGGGTCGAAGGCGTTGAGAAATACCAGAGGCCAGCATTTAGGGTATTGAGGGAGGTCTGAGTTGGAGGTTGCGTGAGGTCTTGGGCTTTTTGGGTTGTTCATTATTGGGCTGAAGGTGGCTGAGGGTTTGAATGCTCATGTCGTAGATGTGCGTCAGTCACCCTGCTCCGTGTGCCCCCCAAACAGTGTCTGATGCAGCTTCCCACAGCTTCTTCGACAAAGGAGACAGCTTGATATCGTGGAATCGTAGAGCTCGAATTCAATCTTTTTCCTCGGCCGCGACAGGTGTGACGACACTGGGTGCTCAATCGAAGTACAGGACCGGGATCATGTTGTTACACCCGGGAAGCCTTCGACCTGCGAGTGCGGCATTAACTGCTTTTCAGCTTCTGTTGCGCCCTTCATCCTCTCAGCCCCGAAACCTGAAAATTGAAACGAGGCCCTGGAGTCCACCTCCCAATTTTGCAACCCTGAAGCCCCGAAACCCAAACTCGTCAGGCTATCAAAGCCTGAGCCCCCAAACCCTCGCAACAGGAAGCTCTTACAACCTTGAAAACCTAAAAGCCCGAAGACTCCAATCCAGGAGAGACAGAGAGAGCGAGAGAGAGAGAGAGAGAGAGAGAGAGAGAGAGAGAGAGCGAGACAGAGAGAGAGAGAGAGAGCGAGACAGAGAGAGAGAGAGAGAAGAGAGAGGGAGAGAAGAGAGAAAGAGAAAGAGGAAGAGAAAGAGAAAGAGAAAGAGAAAGAGAAAGAGAAAGAGAAAGAGAAAGAGAAAGCGAATGTGCAAACACAACAAACAAAACCAGAGGGAGAGAGAGAGAGAGAGAGCGCGAAAACAAAGGACACAGACCGCGGATTCCTGGGTGGCGGCGAGCGCGCCCAGCTCTGGGAGGCCAGGTATTGGGGAGGGGAGCGGGGGGGGGGGAAGGAGGCACAAGGTTTTGGAGGTTTTGCGTGGTGGGGATTTTGTTAAGAAGGGGGGGGGGGGGAGCTTTAAAGGCTTAGGGGCCCAGGCGTTTCGTATCATGGGTTCTAGACCCTAAGGCCCTAAGTCCTCAAAATCAATCCAAGATATTTTCTAAACTGCAGCTCTAGGAGTTCTCAAAGCCTCTCGTCCTTCGCAGCGCTTGAAGCTTCGCAGAGGACCCCTCCGCCGAGTTTGCCTCCACCGAGTCGGCGGAGGTTTGGGATTTGTCCGTTTGTTTAGGAGCCTTAGGGCTTTGGGTTCAGGGTTTAGGGCTTAGGGTTTAGGGTTCAGGGTTCAGGGTTCAGGGTTTAGGGTTTAGGGTTTAGGGTTTAGGGCTTAGGGCTTAGGGTTTAGGGTTTAGGGTTCAGGGTTCAGGGTTCAGGGTTCAGGGTTTAGGGTTTAGGGTTTAGGGTTTAGGGTTGCGTCGCTTGTACAATCTGAGGCTGGCTTGCCAGATGCATTTTGGGATGTTCCCCCCTATATTATCAGTCCTTAATAGTGAATATCGTACCCCCAATTATGATCCCTATATAAGGAGCTGTTAGTACATGGGGGAACATCCCAAGATGCATTTAACCTTTCTGCTTGGTTTCGCGCAGTGGTGCAGAAAGTGCTTAAGCTGAGGTTATGAGGGTTGCGACACCGACGTCTACGTGTTGAGATACCTCATCTATTTATCTTTGCGCACACCAGGTGTCGCGATTCTTGTTGCGGCCAGCCGACTTTGCCTATTCCGTCACTGAGGTGCCCCGAGCGAGGGCGAGAGCGAGAGAGCGGGAGAGCGGGAGAGCGAGAGAGCGAGAGAGCGAGAGAGAGAGAGAGAGGCACCTCCCGTAACCGACCACGCCCCCCAAAGACAGGGGCGGGCGATGACGTCTGGGGGTTCGCCCCCACGCCCCCAGAAAGAAAGAAAGAAAGATAGAAAGAAAGAAAGAACGAGCGCGAAAAAGCGAAAGAGAGAGAGGGAGAGAGAGTGTGTTTCCCCGTTTTGGCTTAGTCTCACACCGACTCAGTGAACGCCCCGGCCCTCCTGCCAAGCAGAAGAAGAAAAAGAAGCAGAAGCAGAAGCAGAAGCAGAAGAAGAAGAAGAGCAAGAAGAGCAAGAAGAGCAAGAAGAGCAAGAAGAGCAAGAAGAGCAAGAAGAGCAAGAAGAGCAAGAAGAGCAAGAAGAGCAAGAAGAGCAAGAAGAGCAAGAAGAGCAAGAAGAGCAAGAAGAGCCTTGGCCATCAGGGAAGAAAGAGAGGAGACAGAGTAGCCATCTTTTGATTCGAGGCGGGTCTTGCAGAGCTTAGGCCACTTGCTGAAGCTCTTTCCTCCCAGATTGAGCCGCATGGTCTCGCGCTACGCAGACACTCCTCAAACCACAAAGCTATCCACAACGGGCGAAGCGGAGTCCCATCACCTCCTTGCCGCTTTTGTGAATGGTTTGTGACATCATCGATACTGCCAGCCGGCAAACCACACGTTGGCAAACCCTGTGCTTGCAATCGCTGTGCAACCCCGACACAAAGCCCTTAGCATTGACATCCGCCTCAGATTCAGGCAAAACAGTCATGTAAACGGCCAGCAACGATTAAAGGCTGTAACTAAGCACACAACACGCACCGAGCACAATGCGCATGCTTGTCTTGAGTTTACTTCCTCAGTCTTTGCCAAGACTCAACACGTCGTGGTTATGGCACCCGGAGTGGCACCAGAAAGATCGATCTCTCTCTCTCTCTCGGGTTGCTCCATGTCATCATGTGCGCATGTGAAGGGCCTCCTTCCTGCGACAGGTCACTGCAGCCGGCAAAGTCCGCGCTCCTGGCCTGGTTCCTCTTTCAGGGTTTTAGGCCTCATAGCGAGTAGCTGAGTTTCATGGGTTTAGGCGGTTCCTTGGCTAGAGCGCGGCGTTTCATCTCCAATCATACGCCTTACACCCCTCTTCAATCCGAAAAGCATCCCAGTCTCCGGAGAAACTGGGTCATCAACTCGGCATAAGGCAAGCTATTTCGGATTGTAGGGTAAGGCGGACTGTAGAGGGCGAGGACAAGACTGCAACTCGAAGTGAGGAAACCTTATAGATGTCTCTTGGCCCGAAACACCTCTGCAAAGCCTGAAAAGAGGCCCAAAACCCTCTGACTGTTGCAACTGGATACTATTTTTTAGCCACCTCAACCCTCAACCCTCAACCCTCAACCCTCTGTGAATGTTCAGCTTAACTGTGCTTGCATTCGGTGAACCAATCACTTCCGAAACCGCAGCGGATCCCTTGAGCTCAGATCTCTTTGAGCCGTTGAGAGCCCTCCGGCAGAAAAGGCGTCGCGTGGGCGCATGTGCATTTGCAGCTGAAGCTCCATCTTCGCTTCCTTAAGTTGGCATCGGAGCTGCGATCCAGGGCGAACTGCGCAGTGCCGAGTGGAATGGCTGCCCCTCGGCTGAGGCCTCCACCACGCGACGAGCCGGATGATATCTTTGACTTCATCGATATGCCCGGCAACAACTCCGAGGATCCTCGAGCAGATGGGGCCGGACACGCTGTCTTCGAGAACGGCATGAGCGGTGCTCCAAGAGTAGATCTTCGTGAACCCGGCTCATACGGCTGGACGCCTTCCAGACCTTTCCCTTCAGCGTTTCCTGGCTTTCCGAATTTTCCTGCCACAACTGCGCCACACAACATAGGAGCCAGAGCACAAGGCTTCTCTGGCGGACAGTTTGGCGAAGGACCTCTTTGGATGTGCAGGGCGTGTCAGAGCGATGACTGCCGTTGGGATAGAACGAGGGATAGCTGGTTCTGTGTGCGCTGTGGCTCTGATCAGATTTATGACACCTCGCAGCCCGCTGTGGAGGAGACACGCCACGGCACATGGACCTACCAGCCCCGCGACAGGAACTCCTCTGCTTCTACGTCGCCGCGCTCGTCACCTTCATCGGCTTCTACCTGGACAAGGCCTGGCCCGAGAATGTCACGGACAGCCAGGTTGGGGCCACCAGGGCTACCAGGCGGCGAAGGCTTCGACTTTGAGGCGCGCGAGGCTGCAGAGAGTGAGACCTTGACTTTAGATCCCTGCGTGACGCCAAGCGAAACCAGTGAGCAGCCGGGCAGATTGAGCCGGAGACAACGCAGGGCGAAGAAGCAAGCAACGGCAAAGGAGAGCTGCAAGGGCGAGAAGACCGAGGATGGTGAACTCGACGACTTGCAGGACACTGCCAAGCAGCTTCGCAAGCTCCTCAACAAGTCCAAGAGCGACTCCGACCAGGCTTCATGGTCCTCACTTAAAGGACCTGAACGTGGGGTTCGATGGCGCGGAGGCACCCCGCCTGCTCCACCGAAATGGCAATACAGCAAAGATGACTTAAGGGCCTTCTCCAAGTTCGAGCGCAAGGTGGGCATCTGGCAGCTCCAGGTGAAGCCTTACATGTCCGAAGCCGAAGCCGCCCTGTCACTTTACTGCAGTTTGAGCGGGGAGGCTGAAGAAGAGCTCGAGCACATCGACCTCGCCAAGCTTTATGCCAAGGACGGGATTGCGTTCTTGTTGGAGCAGCTCCGAGGACCTTTGCAAGCCAAGCAGGTCTACCTTAAGCGAAAGTTCCTAGCAGATTTCGAAACGGTCAGCAGGCACAATGGCGAAGGCATGAGATCGTATGTGAACAGGTACCACCGTGCTGAAAAGGCGCTGCTTAGCATAGGTATCAACGTGACCCTGACCTATGACTCAGAGAGCCGTGGCAGCAGATTGCTCGACAGGGCAAAGTTGACCTTGGAGCAGCAGAGAATGGTTCTAGTAGGCACGAACCAGTCTTTACACTTCGACGAGATCAAGAATGCTCTCGTGCTGCAGTACCCGGACCACAAACCTCCGCCATATGTGCAGGGACCCCCTGCAAAAGATCAGCAACAGAACCCTCGAGCTTTTCCAAAAGGCAAGGGCAAGGGCTACAAAGGCGCATGGTCATCGTCGACCTCGGCGCCTACTACATCTTCGTCTTCATCGGCTGCCGGTTCTGCGAGGCGAGTGTGGGTTGCTGAAGCAGAGAGCGGCCCAGCAGACGAGGACAGTGAGTTCCTCGACGTGATCCCCGAGGACGGCGACGGCGAAGAAGCCGAAGACCACAACGACGACGAGGACGACGGTGAAGAGCTTGTGCCAGATGGCGACAACGACCCTGAGGGTGCGATCCAGGAGCTCATGCAGGTTCTGACCGTTACTTCAAAGAAGCTACAAAGTATGACCCAGGGTCGGAAGTACAGAGGCGCTCCACGCAAAAGCGTGGAAGAGCGCAAGCGCTCTTCGTCGTGCTCGGCTTGCGGCCAAATCGGTCACTGGGCTGGGGACTCGGAATGCGCCGTGAGTGCCAAGGGCAAGCCCAAAGGCGATGCCGGTAAAGGCAGCAAGAGCAACACCACAAGCGTGAATGACAAGAAGGGCGGCGCTGGGACACAAAAGGTCTTTTCTGTTCGGCACGCAGGGGGACATGAAGTTCTGTATGCGTTTGATCCTCAACAGCAATGCCCGCAAGGTCCAGACGATCATCCCGGCCAGGTGCACCGCTCCCTTGTCGTGTTCCAGAGTGCAGCGTTCGAGTGCATGACAAGTGCTAGCGAGATGCAGGGATATTGTGTGGTGGACACGGCATGCCAGCGATCGTGTTGCAGTCGGAAGTGGTTTGACAATCAACAAGCACTGCTACAAAGCTTTGGCCTGGAGGCAATGTTCACCAGACGATGCGAGGCCTTTCAGTTCGGAGCAGGGGCCCCACAGCGATCGAGCACTTGCGTGTACTTTCCCGTCGCTTTTGAAGCCAGTCATCCTTTGATTGCCTTGGGCGCTTCGATCCTGAATGACCTCGAAATACCTTTTCTCGCCAGCCTTAGCCTCCTTGAAAAGCTCAATGTTGTGCTCGATTTGTGCAACCGCAAGGCCTATATCGGACTTCTTGACTGCACGGTCGACCTCTTCCTGGTCCAAGGCCACTTGTGTCTCAAGAACTCAGAGTACCCAGCCGATGTGCAGTTCGTTTGGGAAGAGCAGGACACGCATGACTGTGAGTTTTTGTGTGATTCTAGCAAGTGCTTTGTCAGCAAGCTTTCAAAAGACAACCATGAAGAGTCAGCAGCTCGAGAGAGAGCCCTGAACCTTGTTCAAAATGTTGGCAACTCCCCCGGCATGGCTTGTGAGTTGGCGTCGCATGGTCAAGGGACTTCGGCAGATGACGGTGCTAGCCGTGTCTACGGCTCTTCGTGCAACAAGACTTGGGCTGGGAAAGCAAGTCCAGGGAAGCCTCGACGTTGGCACGGGAAAGGACACGGCCACCAAGAAGAAGCCGAAGCAGGTGCTAACGATTGCCCCCACGCACTGCCAGCACTTGAACATGAAGCGCCACGGCAACGCACAGGGCCGCTTCACAACGTGCGAGGACTGCCTATGTCGATGGAAGTGGGGCGTCGGCGCAGATGGTGCAACCCCTGGGTGGCTTTATCATCCGTCATCCAAATCGCATGCGCTTCCCTTGCCTTCGGCCGACACGGTCCTGGATCACTCGTGGACTCCGGGAACAGCGTCGTCCCCAACGACTTTCGGGGCGTCAGCGAAGACGAGGGCGCAGCCGATTTTGGCGACTTCAGCCTCCGGGTACCATGGAACGCTGGCCGCGACCACAGTGATCCACGACAGCGACAGCGAGGAGACCCAGGACTACGACTGGGACCTGGTGCTGAACCCTTGATCAGTGGCAGTGGTCCAGCGCCGCTGAAGAAGGGCCAGTGGAAGAGGGCGATGCACAATGCTGACAAGTCGCTCCAGCTCTTGAGCGGCGAAGTGGAGATGTATAACCAATGGCCTGGCGATCTCCACCTAGGTCATAGAGCAGATCTCTTGGAAGTGTTTTGGGACGGCGCTGCTGCAACAAGTTGCTTCAACTATAGTCTAGCTTCACGGGCTGAGACTTTTGGGCTTTCCTTTGTGAACCTCCAGGGCCTTGAGCTAGACAAGTCTTCGGAACTCTTGCTGCAGATCGTCCTTCAAATCAAACCTCGTGTGCTGTTCGTGCACAGAGCAGCCAACCAGCCTGTGCAAGTCAAAATTGCTGTGCAGAAGTGCTGCGAGCTACAGGTGCATCACGAGGGCAAGTTCATAGTCGACTTCAGCTCGGACTTTCATGAAGATGCCTCCGGTGTCTTGTTGAAGATTCAAGAGCTTCATGACGTGTGTGAGGTGAGCTTTGCAGACAATCAGTACAACGAGGCCGGCAAGCGCTCCTTTGTGACCAATTGTCGGTGCCTTCTGCAAGCTCACGAGACAGGCGACATAGCAGAAACCATGCTGTGCTGCATTCAGAATGAAGTTCGCATGCTTTGCCCTTGGAAGTTCGATGAGCATGTTCATGAAGTGTGGTATGCGCCTCCCGTAGATGCCCCTGAAGAGTGGTTGAGCCTCCTCGAAAGCCTGGAGAAGCGCCTCGGCAAAAGCAGGTACTTTTATCTCAGCGATGACTCCAAGGAGATGCAGCAGCTCAGGCAACTCGTTCCTTGGGAGCTGACAAGGGCACAGGTGTATGCGCAACCAGTCACTCGAAGGATGCCAGCAGACGTTCCTTTCACTCATAGGGGAGCAGCGATGATCCTGAACAACGGCCAACTTTCCATCGAGTCAGAAGACCTTAACGAAGTTCGGCAGCCACGCCTTCGCTTTGAAACCCCTGTCCGGACCGCCGTGTTCTTCTACGGGATTGCCGAGGACGATAAAGCCCAACAGACCGCCAAGGGTGACACTCCCGACGTGCATGTGCCTGGGTTGCGTACGGATATAAGTTTCCCTGAGATGCCCGACTCCATCCCGAAAGAGGTGCGCTCTGCAGTGGCCCGGTTGCACATCAACGCAGGCCATCCACCTCGACAAGAGTTGGTGAGACTGCTGGCGGCGCACGGTTCAATAAATGCAGCTGTGCTAACTGCGTTGGAGCACCTGAAATGCGGTACTTGTGAGAGGGCACGCGTGCCGCTCAAGCCACGGCCTGCTTCAGTTCCTGAGTTCGTGGGTCAGTTTGCTGAGCAACTGCAGGCCGACCTGTTCTATGTGCGGGACCTGTCCTCGACCAATCACGCGCTGCTTGGGGTGACATGTCTTGCTACAAAGCTGTACCAGGCCGCAATCTTGGAATCTCGGGATCCACAAGTTGTTCTGAATGAGTTTGACCGACTGTGGCTTCGACCATATGGCTATCCTCTCTTCATGTCCGTTGATGCCGACGGCGCCTTTGAAGGAGTTTTTCAACAACATCTCCAAGAAAGCGGGGTGCTGATGAACACAGTGCCGGCCGACGGGCATCACCAAATCGGTGCCATCGAGAGAAGGAACGCCATATTTAGATCGGTCTTGGAGAGGCTCATTGATCAAAATGGTGTCGTGAACCGGGACCAGATGGAGATGTGCATAAGTGCAGCCATTTGGGCGGTGAACACCAGCATACACACACGCGGCCGGAGCAGCATGCAAGCAGTCTTTGGCAAGCTTCCCAGGTTTCCGGGTGATCTTCTTTCAGATTCTGCAGCCCTTGCAACTTCAGATTACCACCTCCTTGCTGAACAACTTCGTTCACAAGCGTGTCAAGTTGTCTCGGAAATGGCTGCATCTTCAGTCATACGACGGGCTCTACTGCGCAAAACGGCCTGGGTCAATGGTGGCCTACTGGCGGTGGAACCTGAAGGCGCGCGGCAGGAAGCGAGGCGGTTACATCCTGGGGCGCCTGGTCGTGAAGGACGATAAGAACGCTTGGGTTCAGAGTGGAGGATCGCTTGTGCAGGTGACGCACGAGCAGCTCAGACCAGCAATTGGCGTCGAGATGTGGACTCCCAGCCCTACGGATGTCAAGATGCTGAAGGACGCAGGCAAACTACTTCGAGCCGGTCTCTGGGATGATGGCCGACAAGCTGGACCTCCTCTTGACGAACCTCTTGAGCCTGTTGTACATGCTCCCCAAGAACCAGTTTCTGAAGCTCAAAATGAACAACAGGAGCTAGGGCAGTATCAACTACCACCTGGACGGCAACAGACGCTGCAGGAACCTGACCCACAACAAGTTTCGCAACAGGCAGATGCTTTGGCACTTCCTATTGCTGGCCGGCAAGCTGAACCTCAAGCAGATGAGACAGCAACCGGCGCCAATGTTCAAATCTTTTCTCCTCGCTATCAGCAGCAAAACATTTGGCAGCTTGGCGAGGAACAACAAGCCAGACCAGGAGCTAAAGCGCGCTCCAGGTCAAGGGGTCAGTCTACAGCTTTGCCTTTGACTCCAAAACAACGTCAGATACAACCGCCTACTCCAAATCAACCATCAACGCCACGGTTACCCGCAACACCACGACGGCGTGCAGCAGTCAAAAGACTCCTGGATCAAGCGCCAGAAGAGCCGGCAACCAAGACACCAACACCTTCAACACCACCAGCGCAGGAACCTCACCGACTACCGCCAGTTCCGTCACCGCTTCCTCACACACCGGTACCTTCGGAGTTTCCTTTCTCTCCTGAGTTTCCCTTTTCAGCTGAAGCAACGGGATCCGCGGAATTCGAGGTCTCTCATGATGACAGACCGACTTCGGTGCCTACCACTTTGGAGGCTCCTACAGTTGAAAATCAACCTGAGACGGCAGGCGATGGCGCTGCCGAGAGCATGCAAGCCACGAGCACCGAGGAAGGACCTCTTCCTCAAGTTCCGGCTAAAAGACCACATGACGCACTACCAGCAAGCAAGCTCCACAACAAGAAGAACAAGGACTACCGCGCGACACTCCTTACTAACTTCATCCTCGACAACCTCTTCGAGATCTACGGTCCAGACCACAGCTGGGACGGATCTCCTGAGTACAAAGATGGGCCTCCTTGCTTGGCCTTTCGATGTTCAGCAGCAAAGCTCGAGGAAGTGGAAGTGTCTTCTGATTCTTCAGACGACGAAGAGGGAGGACGCGCTACTACCTTGTCCAGGCAGGAGCGCAAGGCCATCGACAGGGAGATACCTTGGAGGAGAATCATAGCCGACTTCCCCTCCAACGTGGTCGATCTCTACGTGCAAGCCAACAAGAAGGAGTTCACTTCGTGGACTTCTTGGAAGTCGATAAGGCCAGTTCCCCCTGACGAGGCTCAGCGGATACGGGCAGACCCGGTGCTTAGGCGCCGCATCATGCCATCGCGCAATGCCTACCGCGACAAGAACAGGGGCGCTGGTCCAGACATCAAGGCAAAATGCCGTACAGTCATTCAGGGCTGTCATGATCCGGACCTTGGCTTGCTGGACAGATCCAGTCCAACGCCAACGCGATTGGCTGAGTTCCTGATCTACGAGATCGCTTGCGCAGGCTACAACAGGAGACTGCAACGCAACCGAAAATCCTGGAAACTTTGGTCAGGCGATGTGTCGACGGCCTTCTTGCAAGGTCAGCCTCAGGCCCGAGACTTGCCGATCTTCATGAGGCCGCCTCGAGATGATATTCAACGAATGGCTCAGACCTTCTTGCGCGACCTCTACGAGGTTGTGGGAAACCTTTACGGCTTGTGCAACGCGCCGAGGACATGGATCAACCATATCGTGTCCAAACTCGTCAAAGCCAACTTCAAGAGGCATCGCCTGGACCACACCGTGTACTACAAGCTCGACGACGCAGGTGACCTTTTGGTCATCTTACTGTTCCACGTAGACGACTTCTTGGTCGCCTTTCGCCAGGACTACCAGTTCGACGAGCTGCTGAACATGTTCACATGGGGTCAGACCAATTTGCTTGACGATGGAGAGTTTGTCTTCAAGGGCAAGGAGGTCAAGCTCATCCAGGAGAAGGGCGAGTTCCGGATCAAGGTCACTCAGAAGGCCTTCATCAACGAGCTTGAGCAAGGCAAGCTACCTCGTGGACGTGCAGACCAAGGTGACACCCTAACCAACGAAGAGTTCAAGGAGTACAGAAGCTGCGCAGGAAGTCTACAGTGGCTGGGCGGCACAACCAGACCAGACATCTCCGCGACAGTTTCTTTGAGCAACCTTGGTCAGGAAAATGGACCGCAGCAGCTCAAAATGCTGTACGAATGCATCGACTACCTCAAAACCACCGCCGAGGAAGGACTCACCTTTTATGGTGTAAGCCTCAACTACGCGACCACGGTCATTGGCTACGGCGACTCCAGCTGGGCAAACGCTCCCGGTGGAAAGAGCCAGATGGGAGTGTTAGTTCTCCTCGCAGGCCCTGAGTGCAAGGATACCATCACCCGCGCCACGCTTGTTGATTGGAAAAGCTCGAGGAGCCCTAGGGTGACAAGGTCAACTCTTGCGTCCGAGGCGAATGCTATGGACGAGTGCGTCGATAGGTGCACGTTCTGCAACTCCTTCCTTTCTGAGCTCCTGGGTGGCTTCAAGGTTACGCCTGAGCAGCTCAAAACTACAGGAATGCTTCCTCAGTTGCAGATCACAGACTGTAAAAGTCTGTACGATGCCGTGATCTCCGATAACCCCTCGACGTCCGAGAAACGGACAACAATATCGATTCGTTCGATACAGGACTACATCAGTCCCGAACAGGTACACTGGGTGCCAACTGACTTGATGCATGCTGATGTTCTAACCAAGCACTCCACTACCCTTAGGGACAATTTCATCAAGTGGTTGCGCAACCCCACAGTACAGTTGAAGGAGTTGGTCCACCGAAAAGAAAAAGACATCAGTGTGAATGTTCAGCTTAACTGTGCTTGCATTCGGTGAACCAATCACTTCCGAAACCGCAGCGGATCCCTTGAGCTCAGATCTCTTTGAGCCGTTGAGAGCCCTCCGGCAGAAAAGGCGTCGCGTGGGCGCATGTGCATTTGCAGCTGAAGCTCCATCTTCGCTTCCTTAAGACCCTCAACCCTCAACCCTCAACCCTCAACCCTCAACCCTCAACCCTCAACCCTAAACCCTAAACCCTAAACCCTAAACCCTATGTCTAAAAAGTTGTATCCAGTCGCAACAGTCAGCTGGAGAGCCCTGCAGTGCCGCAACAGGCTCCATGAGCATCACGCGTGGTGACCTCCTGAAGAACACCTCCCTGAGGCTGGCCCCAAAGGGTTCCCTAAACCCTAAACCCTAAACCCGAAACCCGAAACCCTAAACCCTAAACCCTAAACCCTAAACCCTAAACCCTAAACCCTAAACCCTAAACCCTAAACCCTAAACCCTAAACCCTAAACCCTAAACCCTAAACCCTAAGGATGATAAGCCTTGGGTTTTGAGGATTCATTGAGGCCTTCACCCCCTGGTTCTTCGTAGGGAATGAGGGAATGAAGGCCCTACATAATTCTGTAAAGGGTATTCTTCGGGTGCTGATTCCCTCATTCCATACTATGAACCAGCCAGTTCAGGGTGTCTAGGGTTCGGGGTTTGGAGTTTAGAGTGCTCGGGTCAGATTCAAGACCCGAACCAGGTCGGAGAGGGCTCCTCAGCACAGGCACCGCGCATAAAAGTCGGAAAAAAAAAGCACTCTCACAAGCTCCGAGCGATGCGAAAGCATATGCTTTTGTGTCTCTAAGGTCCTCAAGACCCCCCGAGTCTGACGAGAAACAGCGCCTTCCGCGCCAAGGCCGCGCGATCTCCGGGCAGTTTCGGCGCGGCTCCCGGAGGGCTCAGGGAGGATTCGTGGTTTGCAGGACTCGAGAAGCAGCTGTGGTAGCTGTAAGTATGGGTCATGGTTAGGGGGCGAGCATGTAGGGCATCAGAAGTGATCGCCCACATTCGGACACTTACCACCCTGGTACTGAAGGCGGAAACCGGCGGGTCCACATGTCCCGAAGCTAAGGAGTACTCCAAATCGCCCAAACTCGGTGTCAGGTGCGTCCGCTTCCAGGCTCGGATGCCGGGCCAATGCTCCTTGGCAGGAGGTGATTGAGACAAGCCGGATAAGCAGCATCATTTTCTGGCACGGGAGGGCGGTAGCTCGAGACCGGCTCTGCACCTGTTTCCCACAAAGCTTGAGACGCCTTGAGATAAGTCCCAGCAAGCCACCCTGCATAGTCCTAAGGCCTCCAGCTTTGGGCACAAAGCCCTTCCTAAGCCTGGCAGGTAACGACTCTGATACTGTAGTGGCCTGCATCAATCGAATCCGAAGTCCTTCAATGGACTCCCGTAAGTGTTGTAGCCCCGAACCGGCCCTTATTAGCTGCCCTGCTCTGTATGCTGCCCAGGCTGTCAAGCAGGTGCGGCACGTCTTTGGTCTTGCGCTTGTTGTTTGCTTGGGGGGGGGCAAGAGACGGTTGAGAAGTACTCAGTCAGGTCCCCAAGCAGCTGAGGCATCAGGCTTCTTACACCTACAACCACGAACAGGTGCCCCAAACACCTACACCCTTACCGGGCTGAGACTAAGAGCCCCCGCAACCCACAAACCTTACTTTGTAAGAAGAGTGGCTTGTGTATGCGCGTACCGCATGATGTACGCGAAATGTTTGGTCTGGGCACGCTCGGGAACGAATCTGCAAGTGTGCAGACCTAGCCCCTGCCAAGAGGAAACCTCTTCGAGATGTTGTGGTCTGGCCCGAAGCCCCCGAAGCCCCCGAAGCCCCCGAACAACCCCAAATCTCATCGCCACCGCCCTGAAACTTGGAACCCTCAGCTTTCCCACAGGCAGTCTGGTCTTCTGATCGGGCTCGGGGGCGTCCGCGCGGTCGTCGAGAAGGCCGGGAAGCGCCCGAAGAATCCGAACGCACCAGGAATCATCCACCCTGAATACCCTCAGAACACCATCTGAGCACCACCTGAACACCACCTGAACATGTCTAAAGAACTGCGCATGTTAAAGAATAGCACCCTGAAGGCCCTCTGAATCACCCCCTGAACTCAGGATCGGGCCCTGCTCTTTGGTCCAAGAAATCGGGCCAGAAGCTCAGGGAGCTGGGGCGGGGTCAGAGGTGAAGGAGGGCCTCGCAAAGTACAACATTAGGTGCCGTATTAGACTAGGGATCCAAAAAGGGACCATCATTTTGACAACCACCCATACACCCCACTACAGATGCCCTCTGAACCCCCCCAAGTCTGAACAAAAGCCCTAGATTAAAAGAGTAAGCTTGGACGTCATAAAATATACTAATCATAAATTTGCTTTACCTAAATTTGATATTGTTGCTGTTCCAAAGTTTCACCCAAGCCGACACAGGACCAGGCCCGCTTCCTCCGCGTCCTGGGGAATCAGCGCCTCGCTGCCGAGAGGGGCGAAGGCTCGGAGCGGGGCTGAGAGGGCGAGGGCCCGAAGCCGGGCCGAGTGATGGGGTTTGGGGTTTAGGGCTTAGGGTTCAGCTGCTCCCGGTCGAGCAATCTCTGGTAGAGTGGCTGTTTCGACTCTAGAAAAGAATTCACCCACCCAGAGAGCCCCAAAACATTAAGAAATATACGGTTTATATGTTTCATCAGCAAGCGCTGGCCCCCAACCTCACCCTGTCATGGAGCGGTCATCCCACTCGAACCGCTCAATCGGCCCCCAGCAAGAGCGGCAAAGCAACCACGTCAAAACAGAAAGGCGGTCAGGGTGAACCAATCAATCAAAATCACAGGAGTTGCGGGCACGAGCAGCACCAAAAAAAAAAACTAATGTTGTTTAACCTCATGTTTTTGGTTTTCGGCCGCAGGAGCAACAAAGTGGTGGGTGGCATCCTGGTACAGTCGCATGTTTTGTTTTCGGGCACGAACAGCCACTTTGTTAACCTCATGTTTCTTGTTTCCCCCCCTCGTACCGGGAACGAACAGCCAACAAAACTAATTTTGTGAACTGCATGTTTCTTGTTTTCGGGTAGGAACAGACAAAGAAAAACAAACCTGATTTTGTTAGCCTTGTTTTCCCAACAGGCCCGAAACACTCCGTAACAAACTCTGTCCTCATGTTTTTCGCTTTCGGGCACGAACAAACGGAAAAAAATACTTTTGTTCACCTCATGTTTCTTGTTTTCCCCACCCCACCTCGTACCGGGCACGAACGGCCAAGAAAAGTAACCTATCTTTGTTAACCTCATGCTTTTGCTTCGAGCACGAACAGCCAAAGAAAAAACAAACCTAATGTTGTCAACCTCATGTTTCTTGATTTCCCAACAGGCCCGAAACACTCCGTAACAAAGTGGCGGGCGGCATCCTCGTACATCCGCATGAGTGAGGTAAAATGACAGTGTCGTAAAATGACCAACAGGCCCGAAACGCTCCGTAACAAAGTGCCCAAAGTGCCTTGTGGCATCCTCGTACAACCGCATGAGTGCGCTTCAGACTGCAATTCCACTGCCTGCCTCTTTTCGCTACTTCGAGCCAATCCCCAACCCACCCTAGAACCAACCAGACGTTGGTCCGGATTGACCAAGAAAACCTATTTTTGTTCACCTCATGCTTTCTGTTTTCCCCACCCCCACGCTCGAACCACTCAAGATGAGAAAGAATAAAGCATTGGGGGTGAGGTGTCGAAGCCCTCATCTGCCCCCTGGTGGGTTTTTTGCCAGAATGGGGGTCCGGGCCAGAAGAGGCCCTGTCGAAATTCTGGGGTTTAGGGTTTAGGGTTTAGGGTTTAGGGTTTAGGGTTTAGGGTTTAGGGTTTAGGGTTTCCAGGGTCGAGGGCGAAAATCTGCCCCCGAAACCTTAAGCGGCCGCATGGCCATTGGCAAGTTTGCCAATGGCCACGGCTTTTTTGCCAATGGCCACGGCCCCCATTAAGGTGCGTGTATATATATATATATATATATATATATATATAGATACATGAAAGAGAGGGCTTAGGGTTTGGGCTTTGGGGTTTGGGGTTTGGGGTCTAGGGGTGCTCAGGGCTCTGCTTTTGTTTTCAAGGTTCATGGAGATTGGATCTGCAGGGTTCAGGAAGGCACCGTTAGAGCAACTACATGGGTGACCCAAGTTGCCCCCTCCCTCGTCACCTCCAGCCCCAACGCATTTCAACGTGTTTTGGGGGTTCCAGCGGCCCCGCGCAGGCGCGCCCCTGGTCGGAAGCTTCCGGCAGCCCTGGCGCGGTTGGCCCTTGTAACCACGAAGCCCGGAAGCGTCAGTTAAAGTTCCTGAAAGGGCTCCTAGAGGCACCCAGGTTTGGCCTGAGGGTTTACTGCAATGCCTCTTCAGATCAGCCAAGCCTTAGCTCCCCACCGAGAACTTGATCTCTCAGACCACTTAGAGGGGGTCCAAAAAGCCGCAGCTCCCCGCCCAAGCCTCAAGAGGATGATCTTCGTGGAGTCGGCGCTGCTCGCGCTGAACCGGCGCCTGGCCTCAAGGCGTGCGCCGTAGATGGGGGAGAGTCTGTGTAAGGGCCCTCGGCTTACTCAAGATGAAGGCCTCAGGCCCGTGGCCCGTGTAAAGCCCACTCTCGCCCAGTCTCGCTTCCAAAATCCCCAGACTTTCTCTTCAAAGTCATCCCAGACCTCTAGGGCTGATCTTGAGCAAACAGGGCGCAGGCACACACCCACGCGCACCCACACGCACCCACACACCCCCACACACACACACGCACCCACACGCACCCACACACCCCCACACACACGCACCCACGAACACCCTCACACCTCTCCCTGTGGGCAGGCTCCTGGAGATCCGCCAGCGCCTGGGAGCCTGGCGTTTTTTCTTCAGCTGTCGAAGCCTGGGGCGTTTTGTTGTTCTTTTGTCGGGGGGCGGCTGAGGACATGGGAAGGGTTGGACAACTCCCTCAACCCCAAAATGCCAAGAGGTATGGAGCCGAAGTTGTTGGCTCCACCGGTGCTCCGGGAGCCCTTCCCCCAGCTGCTGAGCTGCTGCATGATCGGGAGTTCGCGCGATTCCTGCCAATGTAGCTTAGGGTTTAGGGTTTAGGGTTTAGGGGTTAGGGGTTAGGGTTTAGGGTTTAGGGTTTAGGGTTTTGGGTTTTGGGTTTAGGGTTTAGGGTTTAGGGTGTCTGGAGCCCTGAAACCCCTGCGTAGAAGACCCCAGTGGCTGGCGACAGATTGACCCACTTGATAGCTTGCCCATGGGCATTGAGGTGACGGACGCGGTGATACCCGTAGCAAGGCCTTAGGTGGAATGCTGCGTTGAGGCCGTTGAGGGGGCTTAGGATGGCAGCACGTGCCCCTGGGCTGCCCGGGGTACGTGTGGTCGCTTGGCAGAAGCCGAAGTGCACTCCCTTTGCGATCTTGCGACGCCAGCTTGCCGATTCTGAGGACGCTGTCGCAGGCTATCGCAGGCCCGAAGCCTTGAGCGCTGAACATTGAACTTCTTCTGGCTTGAGAACCACCTGAGGCCCTTAAATTGTAAACCGCCCAGACCCGTCCAAAATCCGTGTAAAACCCGTCCAAAACCCGTGCAAACTCTTTTTCCAGAGAACTGCACCCCCAGCGAGGCCAGACCTTGAGGAGGCGCCCAGCGGAGGGTCTCTGAGAGCTTTTCGAGTCAGTTGAGCGATGTGGGGGGCATTGAGGGCCCCTGCGAGCTTTGAGTGCTTGGAGAACGGACTTGGATTGGATGTGGCCGCCGGCCCTTATTGCAATAGCTGCGTGTAGAACACGAGCAAGCAGAGAGGATCAAACCTACTGCAGGCAGACACACACACACACACACACACAAGCTCGCTCACAAGCCCGATATAGTCGCGATCCGAAAGCAACATGCTGCGCACTCACTCTGGAGGGCGAGACAGTTTGCAAAAACCAGCAGATACCACCCTCTGGACCAACTCGGGAGTGTCTCTCATGTGACCGCACATGCACAGCAAATCCAGAACGATGCACAGGTGACTCAAAGGCCTAATCACACAGGTGTATGGTCTGCTTTCACGTGGCCATGTGCGATAAGGCCCCGACCAATAGACACTTGCAACCTACCAGGGTGTCCTGAAAAGGCAGCTAAAGACTGCAGGTACGGCAGCTCCGCCGCTCCCTGGTGCAGTGCGCCAGCTGCCTCCTCAGCGCTTCGGGGAGGTTCGTTTTTTTCTTGAATGTTGTCATGTCGTTGAAAGTTTGTAAGACGTTTTTCGTCCTAGGGGCCGAAGGGACTCTGTTTGCTGCAGCCGCGCCTACGGGTTTGAGCGCGCGTCCACGCCGGTCTTAACAAAAAGAGCTCTTCCGCCGGCCGGGCTATTTGTCCTTGGTAGCCCATTGGTACCTTTTACCCTTTTTTTGGTTCTGGTTTCCCTTATAAAGTAACCAACCCAAAAAAAAGGTGCCCTTATTATAAGATGGTTGCTGGGTTACTAGAGCATTGGGTGCTGGAAATCCCTTTTTTGCTGCAGTGGCCCTGCTTCCTTAGGATGCCTTTTTGCTGCGACCCCGATCCGGCAAGGCACTTGCATACCCCTCCTGCGTCCGCGAACCTTAATTCCCAGGTGTGAACCCACATGCACGAAAGCGCAGAAAGCAACATCACCTCTCCGGCGCATTAGGTTTTTAGGAAGTTAAGTTCTTTTGAGCTGAAGACTTGCACGGCTTTTGTAACCTTAAGCACTCAGGGATTCAAAGGAGGGCTTCGGGCCGAGGTTCTGGTTGAGGTTTTTGGGGAGCTTGAAGTTTGCTCTGAAGCTTGAAGCTTTCCCCCCTTACGCCCAGAACCCACTGGGCCTACACCACGCAACTCCATGGGCGTCATGCAGCAGCCTCCCGAGGTCAAGCCTCTGCCGTGCACGAGCCCCAGGTGAACCGCCCCGGCAGGACCAAAGAGGCAACTGTCGCCTCTGGCCCCTTTCGTGTCCCGGAAAAGTCCTTCCTTTTTCTAAGAGACAGAGCTAAAAACCCAGGGTACTGGACCGGAATGTGTGCGTGCAGAAGCTGCAAGAACGAAGCATTCCCACGTTGTTAGGGCAGTTTAGCGCGAGCAGACAAGCCGCGGCGCTACGTGTGCTATGGAGGGTCTCTGATACGAGAGCTGGGTAGCAAGCCACCCAAACTTCGCCAAAATGTGGGGTTTACGATATTAGGGGTACCTTATTGGGGGTCCTTGTGATTAGGGAATCCTACTATTTGGGGTCTATATTTTGGGTCCCTTACCTTCCAAAACCCAACATGGAGCCCGACACCCTCTTGGCAGTTCACCCCCGGAGCCCGAAAGCCCTTCAACGCAATGGCTCAGGTCCTCGGCACTGCTGTCTCGGCTGGACGGGGACGAGGCGTGCGTGATGCAAGAGTACGGGTATTAAAAAAAACTCGGAGAGAAAAGTTCAGGGAACTCACCCTGCCCTAAACCCTAAACCCTAAACCCTGAACCCTGAACCCTAAACCCTAAACCGCCCTGGCGCTCCTTGAGACCTCCCGAGGCCGCTTTGCTCGCGGATGGGACCGCAGAGCCCGGTGCTCCTCAGACATCAAAAAGCGGGTACTTGGAGGGTTGATAAGCTCTGGTGTTCAGGGTTCAGGTTTCAGAGTGTAGGGTTTAGGGTTTAGAGTCTAAGTTTAGGGTTTTGGGTTTTGGGTTTAGGGTTTAATGTTAGGCTTTTACGGTTCATCGTACTTCCTAACCCAACTATAGCTGTACTGTACTTATCGCCCAGTTATCACTATTGAGTACCACGAACCTCCCAGCAAGGGCTTCGCGTTTAGGGTCGACCAGCCCTGAAGTGCAAAAGAGCAGTGTGCCACTTGGTACAATGCCCAGACAGAAGTGACCTTAGAGCACCAACTTCCCAAGAGGTAGCCTGGGGGCTTGGTTTAGGGTTTAGGGTTTAGGGTTTGGGGGTCTAGGTTTACGGTTTAGGGTTTAGGATTTAGGGTGTAGGGTTTAGGATGTAGGGTTTAGGGTTTAGGGTTTACGGTTTAGGGTTTCTGGGGCGTTCAATACAAGCCAACGAGACACAAAGGAAATTGACATGTTGGATGCTCAGTCCATGTCTCCCGTGGAGGGTCGCAGCGGTGGGACAGGGACGCCCTTCTTCGGAAGCCTTGCATGACTCCCCGCCCCGACTGTTAGCCCCCCCCCCCACGCCCTCCCCCAATATCAAATACGGCCCCGTATACTATGACGTGACTATGCTGGGGGTGCTGAACATTGCGGGGTAGGGGTTTAGGGTTTAGGGCTTAGGGTTTACGCTTTAGGGTTTAGGGTTTAGGGGTTTAGGGGTTTAGGGGTTTAGGGGTTTAGGGGTTTAGGGGTTTAGGGTTTAGGGGTTCAGGGTTCAGGGTTCAGGGTTCAGGGTTCAGGGTTCAGGGTTCAGGGTTCAGGGGAGTGCCCTTTCAGAAAGCTGAGGCCTCCCGAAACGAGTGGGAGGCCATGCTGGAGGCTTATCTGCAGGCGGGTCTGTGATGCCAAATGGCCTCTCATCCGTTCTCAGCACTGTATTTGGTTGGGGGTTTCCGCCAACAGAGGACCCCAAATATAGGCAGCAAGTAGCCACTAGTAGCATTGTTTTCATTTAAGGGCCCCAATAAGGTACCCCCGAATATCGTAAAACACCTGTAATACGGTTTCAGCCAGTATATTGCATTGCCTCGTGACGAGCCTGGCAAGGCATGGACATATGCAGACATGGACAAATGCAGACCCGACTGCGCAAGCTTCGAGGCAAAGCTTAACCTCCTCTTCGCTTATGGGGCATATTGCCTCTTTATGAAGCACCCTAAAACCTGAACCCTGAACCCTAAACCCTTAATAAAAGGGCAATATGGGGCTGATTACCTCTTTATGAAGCACCCTACACCCTTTTTAAAAAGCAAATAATAACCTACTCTGCGCTTAAGAACATAAACCCTTATTCAAGTGCAATATAGGGATTAATCATTTTTATGAAGCAAATAGTAGCAGCATTTTGTCAGAAAGAGGTGCGGTGTCGGTGTTGCGCCATGGCCGATCCGCCAGTGCAGGCCGTCCTGTCCCGCAATCGGCTCGCACCTGGCCAGCACTCACTTTCCTAATGGGGTTTGGGTTTTGGGGTTTGGGGTTTAGGGTTTAGGGTTTAGGCTTTACTGCAGTTGGCGCGAGATTGACGACTCAAAAACTGCAGAGTTTGCAGCCTTCGAAGCGCTCGTGACGTTGGCAGCCTCATGACTTTGCACTCCTCTTTCCCGCTTTTTGAGTGCTGTCCCCTAAGGACCTGCTGCCCAATGGCACCTACAAGTGCCGCTTCTGCGGAAAGAGGCCGAATGGCCTCCAACAGGCCCTGGCGCACATCCAGACGGCCGCGCACCAGGAGGCCTTGCTGCGGCACCGGGTCGCACCTGGCCAGCAGAGTTCTCGGCAGAGAGGGGCGAATCAGGGCTAATATGCAGACATAGCAAGAATAAATTAGGAACTAGTAATTAATGATTAATAACTAATACATGAATAAGAAGAATAGCAACAAGAATAGTAGTAAGAATAAATCATGCCAGAGCCCCAAAGTCTGCATCGTAGCGCAACACGCCCCAAGAGAGGTCGTTGTTCGTTGTAGCGAACTTGTCGCTTGCAGCACCTCTTCGTTTGAGGATTGGCGCATGCCAGAGGCTTTGGAGGCAGCAATCAAGGACATCCTGGCCCACCCTGCAGAGGTCACGCGACAGGACATGGGGCTGAAATCGCTGACGTTCTGCACTGTCTGCGTGCGGCGGAGCCTACAGCTTTGCAACGTCCTGCTGTGCAACGCGGTGCCGGGGCTGCATTGTCAGAAGTTTTCGGTTCGAGTTGGCTCTTCCTTTTTCAACCGCAAGCCCGAAGGGTGCGCTCGCAAAAATTTTTGGGGCTGCGCTTTGGGGCGTTCACCGCTTCTGTGCATAATATAGGGGTCGGAATAATTACTTATCATATTCCCTTATGGTCCCTCTGTAATTCTACTACAACAACCCTTCAAAACCCTATTCTAATTCTTCAGCCCCCCAAAAATTATTCGAACTCAGGTAACCCTTGGCGACTCTGCCCGCAGAGTCAGCACGAAGCTGCGGTGGTGCATCGTGTTGGCGGAAGATGGCGAGGAGCGAGGGTGCCTAAGGCGGCTTCATGATGTCTGCGGCCTGCGGGGCACGGAGGAGCTTGAGGTCAACGTCTGCTTTGCAGATCTTTCCGCAACGGGCGGCTTCTTTCACTCAAGCTTCGCAAAGAACACGTCGCACTGCTTTGCGCTTCACTGCATTGGCTGCAGCAATTTCGAGCTGCAAGACCACATTCTGGTGAATCTGGACTGCGACGTAATCCTCCCGCCTCGGTTCGCCGAGTCTGTGCTGCACAAGTTTCGTTCACGAGCTTTGCAGCTCTTGGCGTGTCGCAACAGCCAGGCTGCAACGACTGGTCGGTTGGCGATCCGTGCATCAGCCTTCGTGGAGGTTCAAGGCTACGACCAGGAGCCGGATATCCAGGGGGCAGGGTATCAAGATGTGGACTTGCATCATAGGGTTGGGATTGTGCCTTTCGCAGATGATGGCTCCATCCGTTCGGATCCCGAGGCATCGTCGGCATTGTCAGCTCGCTCTGTGGGGCGCCTGCAAGCGGCCGATCCCGCTCTCGGCGGATGGGCTTTGCCAAACACCGAGCATGAGTTCGCCACCGAGGAAGACGACAGAAGATTGGCAAAGGTCAAGCATGTTCACAACCCTCGCAACCTGAACTGGGATGAGATGAACGAGGAGAACAGGGCAGCGATGTTTGCCAAGCGGAAGCGACCGGCTTCCTACGCCTGGAAGCGCAACGTTGGCCTCCGGCTTGGCTGGCCATTCGTCCAACTGCACTGCGACCATCTTGCACTGGCCTGGCGGAATCCTGGCCGCATGTTCGATGCGCACCGCCCCCTTCTGCGCAGCCCACCTGCGAGCATTGGCAGCCCACCTGGGGATGCAGAGGCTTTTGGGGCAAGTCTTCAAGCTACTGACTGGCTCGTGGTTCACTCTTGTAGTTCATCATGGCATCCTTCAGTCTTTGACATGGGGGGTTTCCGAAATTAGGGGTACCTTCTTGGGGTCCTGAAAAAAAGGGAATCCTACTATTTGGGGGTCTATATAATATGAGGGGTCCCTTATTTCGTAAATCCCCTCATAGCCTTTAAGCCACTGCAGAGCAAACATAGGACCCAAGGCCCGGGCTAGAACCTTGAACACAACTGTTTAGGGTTTGGGGTTTGGGCTTTCGGTTGACCATTTCCGCTGACCATTGCCCGCGAGTTTTGACCATTGCCCACCCCAGTTTTGACCATTGCCTGCGAAGACAATAAGGCTTAAATGCTATCTGAAAAAGAGGGTTTCGGGTTTAGGGTCTAGGGTTTAGGGTTTAGGGTTTAGGGTGTAGGGTGTAGGGTTTAGGGTTTAGGGTTTAGGGTTTAGGCTGAACTCTGGAAATCTGCTCGTCTTGAAGGTTCGTCGTGCTTCTTGCCGCTTCCCGCCATCCGAAGACTGGCAGGATTGGCATCAGGACTGGCCTCGCTGGGAGGGTGGTTGCTCCCCACTCCCCAAACCCCAAACCCCAAACCCCAAACCCCAAACCCCAAACCCCAAACCCCAAACCCCAAACCCCAAACCCCAAACCCCAAACCCCAAACCCTAAACCCCAACCCCTGAACCCTAAACCCTAAACCCGAAAGTTGTCGGTGTCTGAGCGGACTCTTTCTTTGGCGCTGCAGGACCTCAGCCGAGCTGCCTCTGCGACTTGGCTCATGAGCCAAGCCGTAGACACATTTGGGGGGGGGGGGGAGGGGGAGGGAGACCCTGAAAACTTAAAGTAGACCCCTAACAGTAGGATTCCCTTATAATAAAGGACCCCAATACTGCACCTTCCCTAACTTCGGAAACTCCCATAATTGACACCCGCGCCTTCTTGGAGGCCTGGATGGACAACTTGCCAGAGAGCTTCTGGATCGGCGAAGAGCACACGTTCTGAGGCCAGGTTGCTAGGGTTTAGGGTTTAGGGTTTAGTTTAGGGTTTGGGGGTTAGGGTTTAGGGTTTAGGGAGATGCAGGGTGACTCCTCGCAGGATACAGTCTGACAAGTTCAGAAACAAAGGCCGTAAGCCTTACGGCTAAGGCGGAGTCATCAGTTTTAGATCAGGGGAATGATGTCAATCATAATATGTCGGTGTCATTGCAAGCTGATTGCTGCGATAAATCTTTGCTGAACCCTAAACACTAACCCGTCAAAGCCTTGCGGTATGTCTGCGTTGTCGGGAGCTGCGAGTATTGTAATTTACGAACCTCTGCCTGTGCTGTTGAGAGTGTCAAAAACTGCAGGTACAGTACGTCTCGTGCTGACTCGTAAGTTGTGAACGCTTTCGTTTAATGAAGTCTGGGTTTAGGGTTTAGGGTTTAGGGTTTAGGGTTTAGGATTTAGGGTTTAGGGTTTAGGGTTTAGGGTTTAGGGTTTAGGGTTTAGGGTTTAGGGTTTAGGGTTTAGGGTCCGCCTGAGAGCAGGTGCAAAAACCGTCGGCACTCTTTTTTCAGGGGGGCCGCTCTCCAAGACGATCGTGCGAAGGCAGCTTGTCGAGCGGATGTCGAGGATTCGCTTTAGAGTTTAGGGTTTAGGGCTTAGGGTTGAGGATTTAGGGTTTAGGTTTTAGGGGTTAGCGTTTAGCGTTTAGCGTTCGGGGTTTAGGGTTTAGGGTTTAGGGTTTAGCAAGCCTCAGTCCTGTTTTCGAAGCCGTTGTGAGGTTGGCTCTGTGGAACGGGATCCCTACATGAGCTCCTTTTGCACTTCGCGCTGGCGAGGATCTGCTCCAATTGATCCTACAATTTCTGACAAAGCCGAGGCCAGGTTCACCATTGTCTTCGAGTTGTTTCCCTGCCCCTCCTCCTTAAACCCTAGAAAACCCTAAACCCTACGCCCTCAACCCTGAGCCTCGCCTCTTCTGCTGCAACAGTGCCCTAAACCTCCCTTATGCTGCAAAAGTGTTAGCAGACACCTCTCTCCGAATAAGACTGACAGCGCCCCTGAGGCAACTGGTATTGGCAAGGTGCGAGCGAGGCGCCCCTGACCGGTGTCCACACACCACCGCCACACTCCCACATCAACGCCACCCCCCCCGCCGCCACCACAACACCACAACACCACGACTCCATCAAACAGCATGCGCCAGCACGCACCACCAGACACTACCGCCACGCGGCCACCACACAATGACCATACACCACACACCCACACTCCGGCACGCACCACACATCACCGATATAGTTCTTCAGAATTGGGTTTATGATGATGGACGGCGGGGCCAGATCATGAGTTCCTGGTTTTGGCCAGGCGAGATTCCACACCGTCAGATTCCGCGAGGCCGAGGAACACAAATGCGCAGCAGCAAGAAGCAGAGCGAGTGGCCGGCAAGATCCGAGCCGTGCGCCAGGAGCTGCATGTGCGCTTCTTGGAGCTGATTGGGGTCAACCGCGCAGAATTTCGCTCCTTGATGAAACATCTACATCCTGACAAGGTGGTCCAATCGAGCGCCATCCGGCCATGCTGGGTATCGAATCCGTCGATCCACTTTACCTAGGGTGCATCCATCACACCACACTACAGCGCGCTACCACCAGACAGTGCCACGACAAGGCAAGCGCTGATCGACAAAGGGCTGCCCCGATGGTGTTGATCTCCATCAGTTGCTGCATCCAAAACGCCTTATGAGCTATGCCTTCAGGGTCTGCAAGCAGCGGGGCCAAGCTTTTTGCGAGCATGTCTTTTGTGCCTGGGGCTCGGCAATGCGCAGCTTTCCGACCGAGGTGAACTCGCAGCTCTTTGGCAAGGCATTCCGCACCCGGTGTCTGGACCTTCTTCACGCAGTCGCCAGCGATGCTGACCACATCATGTGTGTTGAGAATCGTGGCCAGCTAGTCTTCCCGATAGAGTTTTCGGACTTCCATGACAAGCGCTGGCCAGGGGATCCCTTCGAAGATTTCCTTCACCACACTCTTGCAGGATTGATCATCGGGCTCGTCGGGAGAAGATGGATGTTGGAATTGTGGAAAGAACCTTCGTCTTCCACAAGTACAAGACGGAGAAAATCAATCTTTGGAAGCTCGTGAGGGGGGAGAAGGGCCCCTACAGGAACCGCGCGTCGATGTGTTCGGGCGGTCTCCGATTTGGGCTGGGCCATTTCAACGACAACCCTCTCCACCACATCATTGAGCCAGCAACGATAGGAGCGGCCATGGACGGCAGAGAAGCAGCGCAAGGCAAGCTTTGCATTCAGCTGGCTCAAAGGCTTCGCCTTGAAGAGCTGTGCCATCGGAACCAGGATAGTAGCAGTGCATCGTCCTATGCTGAGGAGAACGCGGAGCACTTTGAGAATCGAGGCCTTTGCAATGGGGGCCATCAAATTTGCCGCCCTGGATGCTGCAACAGCTTTGGATTCAAGTACGCGACGTGATCAGGCAGGAGATGGAGGGCGTTTCAAGGCGACCTGCTTGCCTCAAAACCAGGCCCGCGCCCACGCACACGCAGTGAGGAGGCATCCAACTGCGCTCTCGCGCCCCTTGGCACGAGGACTTTGGCATCGGAGCCTTCCGGCTTCTAGTGTTTGGGTTCCCTCAACCCCATGAACAAACCCCTCCCCCACCCCTTTATCGAACACGTATGCCCATCTAGAAGCAAAGCGGCTTGCACGCTGTTCCTTTCCCGCTTTGGCTGATCGAGAGGAGCTCGCGCAGCTTTAGCTGCACATCTGAGCTGGCGGTCCTCCAACCTGCCATCTGGCGCAGCATCTCTTCTGCGTCTGCGATCAGCGGCTGCAGGCACCCTGGCCCATGAGAAGAACCGCTTGGGCAGCGTCGCAGACAGACTCATCCACGTCTTCTGTGGCTCGACGTCCCCCTCTGAAAGCTGCGACGTTGGCGAGCTCGCAGTCAGGCATCGGCGTCAGCAAAAGCAAAAACTGCTTCCGACCTGCTTCGGACCTGCCGCGGACAAATAGCACAGGCAACATGCGCAAAGAGCTTTAAGAGCATGAACTCCCCGCATCCCTCGTGCCCGTCCAGCCTTCCCATCTCTTCCCAACTCGGCCATGTCTTCGAGTAAGGCCTTGGGTGGTCACACTCACATCTGGGCCTCTAGCTACCATTGCACATTTTGGTTTTCGGATCGGTCTGAGGGTTTGAGTGACAGGTTTGATAAGTTCCCCCACCCTCTTCAACATCGGCCGCCAGAAGAAGGGGCCACACGATTCTTCCCAAGCTCGTCATGCGCGCGTTGTGTTTGCAAATTGGGGGCGGGGTGGGAGGTTACAAAAAGGGCGACCAGAAGAATAGTGAGAACAGCAATGATGTGAGAAACAATCTCCCAAGCAACAATAACAGTCATCACAAGAAGCGTCATCGATATTGGTGTTGTTATTGTTGGAACTACGGGTGTGATGATTGGTGTTATTATGGTTGCGATTCTGATTGCTGCTAATATTGGTTCTTGTTGTTGATACGATTGTTTTTTGTGGGTCATACTGGGAGGATGATTGCTATCATTGTTGCTATTATGGGTATGCTTGCTATTGTTATAACTCATATTCCACGGCAACAGCCAACGGCAGCCAAGAACAGCCAACAACAACCACCACGACCACCGCTGCCCCAACTGCCACTTCAACCACCACGGCCACTTCAGGGTAGGTAAACCCCAAACCCCAAACCCTAAGCCCTAAACCCTAAACCCTAAACCCAAAACCCAAAACCCTACAGCAGCGGTAGCCTACCCAGCGATGCAATCGCCAGGCCTACAGCGAGCTGTCCCGTCAGTGTAGCTCGCTCCTCCAAGACATCGAGGCGTGCCGACAACGGTTTAGGGTTTAGGGTTTAGGGTTTAGGGTTTAGGGTTTAGGGTTTAGGGTTTAGGGTTTAGGGTTTAGGGTTTGCGCGGTTGGTGTCCGTTACTGGAAGTCTGCCTTGGTGGTGCCTTCACGTGCAGCTTCGGTCCCAGCCCCTTGCTGTGTGGCAAGTTCTTCTACTTGCGGCTTCGGAGTTTGGCAGCGCGCCTGCCTTTGTGTGGGAAGCAAGCGCTTCACCAAACTCCCAAGCAAGAGGTTGGCTTAGACTTGATAGGACCGGCAGATCCAACAAAACGACGAGGCTTTTTTCCCCTCCAGCATCTGCATTAAGCATACTGCTCGTTTGCAGCTGTTGACCTTGAACATAGGCTACGCGGGCGGCGCTTTTCCCCGCCAACTTAAACTTATCAACCGTCAAGTTCTTGGGGTTGTGCATCACAAGCCTCACACCCTAAACCCGAAACCCGAAACCCTAAACCCTAAACCCAGCAAGCAAGCCGAGACCCCCTGAATCCTGCTCGCGAGGACTTCGAGGCTTCGACGAACCTGGCGCTTCAGGCGGGGGCGTGCGCGGGGGGTTGCCAGGGCTGTGATCCTGGCATGACATGAGGCAGGGTTTATATTACTGTTTTTGGTGAGTGTACATAAGGCTCCTTGTTCAGATTGGTGAGTGTATATATTGGGTGTCCTTTTTGGGGGTGCAAGAAATATAAGCCCTACTTCACATGTGTAGGGGCTTACGATCATGATGGACCCCTAATATAGACCCCCCCCCCCCCCCCAAAGTGTTGTAGGATCCTCCCCGATAATAAGGACCCCAATAAGGTAACCCTAAACCCTAAACCCTAAAACCTAAACCCTAAACCGTTTGGGTCCTCATGGCAAGGCCATGGCGGGCTAGAGAGATTGCACGCGCCCAGCTTGTCCTGTGCATGCTCATGATCCTGCAATTCGGGTCCCCAGAGTTGTTGCTGGTCTTTAGGGTTTAGGGTTTAGGGTTTAGGGTTTCTGCAACGGCAGGGTTTGAAGAGTTCGATTTTGGGGCATCAGTCTTGCCAAGCTTGTTCTTCGTGGGTTGAGGTTTGGGGTCTCTCCTCCTTCGTGACACCCGATCTTGCCCCCAAATGGTCGAACAGTCCCTTGGCCTGACGCGAAAACCTTCCAAAAGCCTTGAGAATCCCCAACCCAAAACTTCAAGCCAAGGCCCAAACTCAAATCCAAGCTCCAAAACCCTGAAGGCAAGACGCCTGCGAGTGGAACAGTTTGAGTTGAGCCTCGTGCCTCGGATTGGAATCAGACATTCGGCCCTAAGCCTCGCTAAGATCTGCTGGAAGCATGCTGCACTTTCTTTTGTACAAGCACAGGACTGCACAAGCGAATCAATGACCGCAAAAAACGAAGTTCCTGCCCGGATCACCTTCGCCGAAGCGAAAAACCACAAGTCTGAATGCATCCATCGTATTCTTTGGGCTGCATTTCCGACAGCCTTGACTGACAACGATTCGTTTGAAAACTCCTCCAACAAAACTCTCCGAAATTGGGTGTATCATAGTACAAATCTGTTCCTTGCGTGCGTTGCACAAAGTGTTTCACACTGTGATCACCACGACTCCGTGCATGTGCTCCGAAAGAAGACTGCAAAGCAAGCGTATTCTAACAATAACAATATAGCAATCTAACAAGATATGAGTATATATATATATAAGCATATAACAATCTAAGGCTCATATAACGATATCATCAGCACTAGAATATATTGATTTCGTAACCTTGCCCCACAGGTCATCGCTTCCGTTTCCATCGCCGCGGGCGGTCTAGTGCCAGGCCCCGGTGTGCGCTTCAGCAGCTGCGTGTTTGGGGTTTGGGGTTTGGGGTTTGGGGTTTGGGGTTTAGGGTTTAGGGTTTAGGGTTTGCGGTTTAGGGTTTGCTGTAAAAGGGCGTATGTCCCATTTGCAAAGGTCGTGATGGCAGGCAGACCTAAGGTTAAAGTTTTCCGGGTTTCTAGGCTTTTGGGGGCGGGGGACCATGAAAGTCGCAGGTTTCGTCAGTTCCTCTCCGCACAAAACTTTTGTGTGCAGTCTAGCATTCTGCGTTGCAAAATTGCACATGTTTGTTTGCTGTTCCCTACACCCTAAACCCTAAACCCTAAACCGCCAGGGTAAAAGTCCCGGTGCCTCTCAGAGGTTTTAGGGGCGGCTGTCCGAAGTCCGAATGAAACCCCACGCTGCATGGTACTAAGATTAGGGGCTTTAGGCCCTAGGCCTCAGGGTTTCAGCCACAATGTGTACCACGGGGGTACTCGGGACTCAAGGGCTTAAAAGGTTTTTCGTCTTCGGGGGAGCTTGTCCCAATCGGATTCCTCCTTTCGCGGGTTTCAAGGAGCTTCGGGTGCAGGTCAGGGATGATGGGAAAACACCAAAAATGAAAAGGAGTTCCTGCATCGCTTTCCCTCCACCACCCCAAACGCTAGGGCCTGGGTCAGAAGATCACTCCTGCTCCCCGTCAATCCAGTCTGGACAAGCATCTACAGGTAGACCTCAGATCCCAGCCACCCTCGTCAACCGTACAAGCCCTAAACGGCTTCGGGTTTTATGATTCTCCTGAGGTTTGTAAGGTAGATGCTGTGAAGGTTAGGATGCAGCAGAGGCTCGAAAGCCTCATCAGGTTCGAAGAGCAGCTCTGCCCCGATTGTGGAAGGCCCTCTATTTGAAACCTTTCTCCCACCCCACGACGACAAAAGGCGGCAAAGCCACCCTAACCTATTCCTTTTAGGGTTTAGGCCTCAACTCGTGACAACTGCTTACTTCCAATAGGACGTCGTCCGTCACAAATACTCGCTTGCAGCCAAGGGAAGGTTCCAGTCCAGGGGGTGCATACTACCCCTATTGCTTCTACCATTACGACGACGACGACGAGGAGGATACATTATATGCGCGGGCTCAAAGCGTTGTGAATACCAGCATGTCCAGGACTAGCTACTTTTGTCCTGACACAGGCGGTTACTCGATGACTGAAAAATTGCTTTCGATCCCAACACCTCTGCCCATCCTGGGAAGGAAGCGCAGATGACCATGCAAGGTCGTCGCAGAAGTCCACAACGATGTAGCCGCAACGACACCCTTCCCCACATTTTGCTGGGCGCGCCTCTGCACTTGCAGAACCCTGGACCTGGGAGCCCCAGACAACCCCCAATCTCCAGGCCTCAAAGGTACCCCACTTCTGAACCCAAAACCCGGAACCCTAAACCCTAAGCCCTAAACCTTAAACCCTAAACCCTAAAGCCTAAACCCTAAACCTGGATTCCGAAGCCTGAAGGAGCTATGGGCATGAATTTGCTCAGCGGCTATGAATCGGCAGTCGGAGGCCAAGTCGAAAAGGCGCTGGGGGTAGATATTTGGGGGCTACTTTGGGGACTGCTTTGGTCCTTAATCAGAAAAAGAGTTGGGGGTTTAGGAATTCGGGCTAGACTGGAGACCGTTTGTGTGAGTATCTTGCTTTGAACTTCAATACCCCTAACACCGGGAGCCCTGAAAACGCTTTTGCTGTTGCTGCGCGATCGCCATTCTGACCTGAGACTCTGAAGCTCGAGGGTGAAGTCGAACACGAAGACTGCTTGGGCAAGAGCCATCCCTCCAAGAACCACTGGAGCTTTGGTTCTTCCAGACCATGTAATTACTGTAGGGGTCGGAATAAGTACGAATAAGATTCTTATGGTCCCTCTATGCTGATATATACTCTAACAACCCCTGAAACCTATTCTAATGGTACCACAGTAAGAACTGCCAGTCCAGTCCTCAAAAGCCCTCAAGCAAATGGCCGAAGCCCAGGATGGCGCCTTCCGCTTCGCCATCCTCGTGACACTGGCCGTGGCGCGGGGGCTCGGAAACCCCAAACCCTAAACCCTAAACCCTAAACCTTGAGGAACCCTGAGGAAAGCATCTCAGTTGAACCTGTTCTTCCCAGGAGCCTCCAAAGAAGCCCAGGGCTGCGTGTCGCGTGTAATTGGGATCGCGTAAGCAAACTAGACCTCGATGTGGGATGCGTAGTGACCCCGACATCTTAGTACCCCTAGCATGGCGACTGCAAACTTTGCGGAAGTGCTTCGGTTCTCACAGTTGAGGTCACATCTTGCGCACTCTTGGGTCTAGAGTTTTGGAGCTACAGATGCGGGAGGGTGTTAGGGGGGGGAAAACCACACCTAGGAGCCAGATGCACAATGAGTGTATGGTACCTGCGAACCTGGCTGCCGCAGCAGCTTCGGAGCCATGAAGATCCGCGAGCCACAATGCCTGAAGCTCTGAAGTCGGGCACAAGAGTGAGTGAAACGATACCTCCGAACTCGCCAAAGACGCCCCGGCTAGGCCCTCCCCGGCAAACTCATTGCCGAATAACCCTCTGACCCAGGCCTCACAGCCCTGTATAGGGTTCCCTTAAGGGGTTGCTTTCCTGTAATTGGGTCCCGGGTCCCCCTTAAGGGGTTGCTGTAAAGGTGGGTCACCTTTTGGCCCCCGTGCCCCACTGAGAGGTGCTGGTCCTCTTCTTTACCATTCGGCTCCTGGCGGCCAAGCAGGGCTTCCTCGCCTAGCATGAGCAGAAAAAAGAAGAGAAGGATGGATTGGGATGTTCCCCCTTCTACGAACAGCCCTTAATGGGGATGATAGTACCCCTTATACTAGCACTTATTTAAGGACTGAGGACTGTGAGTATAAGGGGGAACATCCTAAAGAATAGAATTTCAAAATTTAACGTAGAGAGGGCTTTTTCAACAAAGAAAGGTTCGTCTTCTGCCACAGACTTCCTTCTGTTTTGATCTCATCTTGCAGCAGGCCAGTGATCGTGAACGACCCAAACCCCCAAACCGGATTCCTTCACCGGGTTTAGGGTTTAGGGCTTAGGGCTTAGGGCTTGGGGGTCTTGGAAAGGATGTGCATGCGAGGCACCAACCCCGAAAGCCTTGCGCCAGGCCTCAGTGGGCCTGCGCCCTTGCCCAACCCGCCCCGAGCAGGCGTTTGAGGCAGCTGCTTTCTGGTTTTGGGATGGGGCGTTTTCATCGGTTTAGAGCTGAACAACCATTCAAAGAGTCTCAAAACATCCCCCAACTCTTTTCGAAAGCTTGTGAGGTCCTCATCCAGGGGGTTTTCGGGGGCTTTCTGGGGCTTTGCATGGTGCTTTGAATGGCCATGGAGTACCGAGTGGAAAGTGAGCTTCTTGCTCGCCCAGCGGTACCATTTTCCCTTTCGTTTGGTTCAAGGTTCCCGTACAAAGTTAGTGACCCAAGAAAGGGTACCCTTATCAGAATATGGTTTCCGGGCTACCAAGGCTTCAGGTTTTTGAGGCGCAGGCCTTGATGCGTTAAGCTCTTCTTCCTGGATTTCCGAGCTTGCTTGCACCGCTTGAAACTCTTCAGGCTTCTCTGGGCGGAACTTTGGGGAAAGTAACGGTCGTGACGGCATGCCCTTTTGAGAGCCTCCCCCGCCCCTCTCCCTGCCCTCCCCCTGGTTCTCTAGGCTTTGCGCCTCCCGGCCACTCAATTCGCGGCAGATGCACAAGAAAGCAATAGCCGGGTGTTGCTCCTCGAGAGATACAGTGCACTCGTAAACGGTTTAAAGCGTCCTGGCCAGGCTTCGTCTTCTGTTCATAGGCCGGAAAGGTCAGGAAATTTGAGACACGGCGTTTTTGTCGCAGCACCTGAGGGGTGCTCCTGGTGCTGAGGGGCTTAGACACCCTTTCGGCACGAGAGCTGCTCGGCCAGGGGTCCTGCGGCGCGCCTTGCAAACGTTCTCCGAGCCCTGGCCTTATCTACTTTTTGAATAAGAACCCCCCCCCCCCCCCCCAAAAAAAAAAAACAACATGCAAACTATTATTCCTTATGTGGGCAATATAGGGATCATTAGTTTTTGAGGGTTTTTAAGCAAATAGTGGTTCTGAAAGCTCAAAAAGCCCCATGTTGTGGCAACAAGAGCCTCAGAGACCTGCCTGGAATGCTTTGAAGCGCCTTTCAAGCCTGTAGGCCTGGTGTGTTGAGCCTGGGTGGCCCCGCTTCTATCTCCGGTAAGCTACTAAACGCTCTTCTCCTCTCGATGGATCAGGTTTTAGGGTTTAAGGGTTTTGGGCTTTGGGTTTAGGTTTTAGGGGGGTGAATTTGATTGTTGATTCAGTTGGTGGTTGTACGGTAGTAGAGAACTTCCGCTGTGCGGTCGCATCGAGTGGCACTCATGTTGACCGGAAGACGAGGTAGATGCTGATGGCCTGACGCACGCTTGACAGTGCTGGCCTGTGTCACGAACTGGCTGTGCGCCTGCAGCGTCTTGATGTACGACTTGGACCACGAAGTTTGCCTCTCGCGTCTCTCAACAAGCAAATCCTCAACCCGAAAGACCTCCTGCTGCTGTCCTCCCCGCAGCAGTGCCACAGCTCGGAGCGTGGGCGAAAATTTGCCGTGCTGTGTTGAGTGAGTGGTTGGATGATGCTCAAAGTTGAGTTCAGCCACTTTGTTCATGGATTTGGTTGTTGCAACAGTTGGGCCTGTCGACGTTAATGCCGAATTCTGGGGGCAATGCTTGATTGTGCTACACCTCGTCGTCAAACTCGCTGCGGCTTTCGCTTGAAGCGGGCGCTGAACCACATGGTGAGGGTACGTCACAAGTCGCATGAGGATCTTGCGCCCAGAAGCCAAACCCCTAGGGAGCATGCCGCTCAAAACCCCTCCCCCCTCCCCTCTTCGGAAGCCCCGAAGCACCTCCCAAAAAGTTTCCCCCTAAAGAGCCCTTTCCCGGCGCTTCAACGGGGAGCGACGCTTGGCATGCGATCCCTCGCTGCGCGGGCACCGCGGCGACTCGGCTCGTGGCTTCGGCCGCATGGTTGAGGCCTCTCGGTGATTTTCCATGCACCAAGGGCCCAAAGGGCCTGCTTTGGGGGCTGCTCTTTTCTGTTTGCAAGGGCTGTGTTCAGAGTCGAATTGGAAGGTTCGAGGTGTCGGGGAGGTGTCGTAAAGGTTTTGGGGGGTAGGGGGGGGGGGGGGCGGGGGCTGCGGCTGCACCAGGTTTGGGATGATGTCCGCCTGACGTCTCTCCATCCTGCCATCCTCAAACCTCTTGGAAACCTTGGCCTTGAAGACTTCGCGTTCTTACCTTCCGTTCACGGGGCGCAGGTGCTGCTGCCGCATGCGCGCAGCGGGCCGAGGCCGTCCGATCTGCCATACCAGCCTTGTACTTGCGGGACCCCTGATGGAAACCTACGTCCTTCGCGACCAAAATCGGTCATGGTAATGCAGTCCGGGCCTCAAACACGGCGACTCTTTCCATTCACTGCTAACGGTCATGTCCCCCCCCCCTTCCAAGGAAGTCTTCTCAATCTGTTTCCCCAACCTCAACCCTGAAGTAGCTCTTTGTAGTCCCCTTTGTCTATGTTAGCAATAAGCTTCAGGAAGCCTTTACACTCGAAACATAAAAATGAAATTCAGCTTCTTGAACACCCCCCCGTGTTCTAGGGCTGAACTCTGCATGTCCCTGCTGCCTCAGGCCTTTCCCATGCCAGGTCTTGACACCCAGAAGCCGGGCACCCCAGCCAAGTCGACGAATTCGGTTTGTGTCCCTGGTGCATGGATGCCACATGCATGCTGCAGGCAAGTTTTCAAGGCAACTTGCAGGTGGTGAGGCTGTTGGTGAAGGATTGTGGCTTGTCAGGCCCTTCTTGGGCTGGGCCCTTGCAACCCCTTCTCGTTCTTGCGAGCTGGAGTCAAAGCTCTTTCTTGGCAGCTAGTATAAGACCTTGCCATGTACCACACTGGTCGTCACAGCATCTGGTCAGAGTTACGGCTCATTTGTGCACAGTGTCTGGCAAAAGCATTCTAGCAGCCAAGCACCGGTCAAGCGAGCGTCGAGCGCCGGATGCGGGAAGCCGTCATGAAGAATTTCAGTCAACGCTCGTCCGCCGACCGCTTTCAGCCCATGGCATTGTCTCAGCCACGGAACGGGATGCCCATCTCCCCTAAACCCTAAACCCTAAACCCTAAACCCTAAACCCTAAACCCTAAACCCTAAACCCTAAACCCTAAACCCTAAACCCTAAACCCTAAACCCTAAACCCTAAACCCTAAACCATAAACACTAAACCCTAAACCCTAAACCCTAAACCCTAAACCCTAAACCCTAAACCCTAAACCCTAAACCCTAAACCCTAAACCCTAAACCCTAAACCCTAAACCCTAAACCCTAAACCCTAAACCCTAAACCCTAAACCCTAAACCCCAACCCCCCGTGCCTCGAAGGCACAAATCTGCACTCGGATGCAGCAGGTTGCCGCGGCTCCGCCCTGCGCATCGCACCACCTGGCCGCCGCCGGGTCGTTTGGCAGCCAGGTAAGGGCTTTTTTGGTTTGATTTTCGAATTTGGAGCTCGGTCCTTAGGTTTGTCATTTGTGCATCTGTGATTTGGTGGTGGAATGTAGGGTATGTAAGGATTGGCTGTTTACAGGCGTCAGGTCAGACCAGCATGCTGGCTGGGTCTGGGCCAGAAGATACCGGTCACATTCGAGGATCATTTGAAAATTCTCCCCTGGCATCCGGCCCCCCATCCCCGCTTACCCCTCCCCGAAGCCGCCCTGCTCCCGCCAGCAACACCCAGCAACACATCTGGCCCAGAAGCTGGCACTTGGGTCTACTACTATCTGCTTAAGAACCTTCCCCAACAGAATATTCTTCCTTATAAGGGCATTAGAGGGATGATTATTATACATGTTTGGGGGGGGGTTCTTAAGCAAATAGTAGTGCAAGGTGTCCCTTTCCAAGTCCCTCTCCAATCTTCCCCGGCTCCGAGGCGCCCATCCTCGGGGCAGTGGAGAGCACGCCGCGGGTCCAAGTCACAGGCTCGGCCTTTGGGGCTTCAGCTTAGGGCCTTTGGGCTTAAGGCTTTCGCGCCCAGTCTTCCCGACCCCTTCAGAACTTTCAGAGCTTTTTTAGCAACGTCTTCTCACAGTTTTCAAGTTTGAGTGCTGGCGGCCTCGCCGCACAGAGATGCGAGCCGGGACCCACTGTGACACCAGCGCCATCTGCTTTCGGAACGAAACGAGAGCATGGTGTTTTTTTTAAATAGAACCCTAAACTCTAAGCCCCAAGCCCCTATACCCCTAAACCCCTAGACAAACCCCTTTTGCAATCGCAGGCTGTGCGGCCTATACGACCACGACCTCGACGCCTGCGAGCATCCCAGGGCCTGAGCGAGGCCTCCTTTTTTTTTTTTTTTTTTGGGGGGGGGGGGGGGGGGGGGGGGGGGGTGTGCTTTTGTTATGGGAAGGGTTGTAGGGTTGTAGGGTTTTTGGGTTTAGGGTTGAGGGTCATGAGAGCTGGGTCACCGTGTTAGGGTTGAGGGTTTCGGGCCTCAGGGCTTGGTTCAGCCAGGGACTTGCCTTGAAGCTACTCGTTCGGATGCATAATTCCTCGGTAGGATAAGGGGGACCCTCAAACGAACGGGACTTCGTAACCGTTTTCTGGCTCTCTTAAGCAGGGACCTTATTGAGAGGGTCTATAACCCCAAGTGTCCCCCTCATCCTATCCCCTAGTCCTATCCCCTAGTAGCAGGCGAAGTTAGCCAGATGGATACGCTCTTCGCTTGAAAACCTCCGGAACTTTCAAAGGCTGAGTCGCAGGTATCTTCTGATTGAAGTTCTTCCACAACTGGAGGTCCTCTTAAAGAACCCAGGGGGCTTCAGGGTGCTATGGGGCTGAAGGAAATCGGAGCTTGCCAGGAAAGCTTCCTGCCCCTGGGGTTTTCAACATTGATCATCGCCCGTGGCCAGGTGTGGTGGACCAAGCAGAGGCCGCTCTGTCAAATTGGGTCGGATTCTGTATTCCGTTTGACCCCACGAAAGTAAGCCCCAATATCTTGATTTAAGAACGACAAGATCTGATAAAGTACAGAGCAAAAGCCGCCAAACTTCAAGGTTCACAAAGCCAAGATTCGAGCGATGCCTTCGACGACAGGTGCCCACGGGCACGTCACGTCCGCTCCCGGCAGAGATTGCGGAGGCGCGCAGCCTCAGGGCCTCAGCGGGCTTGGGGAGGAGAGTGCTCACGAGAGTGCTCAAAGCAGCGAAATTGAGTCAGTGAGGGAATGGTACTCGAAGACTCTTAAGCGCCAAAACCCCGGAAAATTCTTACAAGACACCTAACCATCAGATTATTCTAATCCGAAAATCAAGAACCTCCCCCCCCTCCCAGACTTTTGGTGCGGCAATTTCTTGGCACGTGCCAACTCGCTGAGGGCATGTTGCGACAGGTACCTGGAAGGCACCTGTTGGTGTATGCCGGTGAACGAAACCGCCCCCGCCCCCCCCCCCCCCCTCTGGAAGCCCTAAAGATCACACAAACTCCCCTAAACCCATGGCCCCCAATTCCTCAGGCCGAGCGCCAAGCGGCACGCCAGCAGCGACGGCTGGAGATGGAGCGGGAGCTCTGTGAGAAGCGCGGCCCTCACATCAATTCGGCGGTTTTCGTGCCTGGGGTTTAGGATTCTCTCTGCGCTCCGACGATCCACGTAGGCTTTTAGGTGGCTGAATCTGCTCGAAATCAGTGCTGCGGGTAGCTTCCACTGGCAGCTGCGAAAGACTCTCCTCCATGCCAGCTATAGGGTCGGGAGTCAAAGAGTGTTGAAGAGAGAAGTATCTAAGAACGTCGGGCTTGTGTGAGCTGTTATTGCTGTAGCTTGTTCTTCTCACTCTGCAATAAGCAGGGACATAGGGATACAAGTGCCGTTAAGGCAGCATTGTTTACAGTGAGTTAAGTCACCTCTCCCGACGGGAGGTGGATTAGGGAGTGGAATCCGCAAAACCTCAGAGTCTTTTGTGCGCCCCCAAGGCTCGGACTGCCCGAGGCGCGCTTGGGCTGGCGGGCCCCCACCACAAAACGCTTCGTACCCCCGCAAAGAACGGCCCTTCGTCGTGCACAGTTCCGGCAGTTCAAGCCCAAAGCCTTCAAAGAACAACACGCACGCGACTGGGAGAGGGCAAGAACACTAGACGATGTTGAGATATTGTTGCTGGTCAGCCACCACCGTGCTGTCAGGATACAGTATTTATTCTCTGTAGCTCTCCGTGCTCACGAAAGCAAACATGTTATGAGCCTGCGACAACACGCTGCGTCCGCCACAGTTGTTGGTCAAAGTAGGCCTTAAAAGTAGACCCTACTGGACACCCCTCACAGGCTTTCAGAGCTTCAGGGTCTGATAGTAAGCCCGAAAACAATAGGAATCGCGCAACCACCAACGTTACGCAGCTTCTACCAGGTCGTGTGACTATTTTGAACAGGGGTCGTTCCAGGACGTTTCGCGGCCTTGCGGGTTTTGAGGGTCCAAAGCCTTGAAGGGTTTTACAGGGTTTATGGGTTAGGGCCTTAGGCTGCACCTACAGAGGGGGTTCCCAGTCGTGGACGGCCAATAGGGTCCGATAGGCCCTCCGCCATCACGGCCAGCAGTCCAGTTTTGGCAGGTTTCCGAGCAGCCGGCAGCACAAGTCTGTTCCCAAGCGCACTGCCAGCGTTCCTTTAGCGAATCATCTCCATGCCGGCACCAGAACAGCTAAGAGAGGCTTTTGCAGGGTTCGTTTTAGAAACCGTCTAAACTCAAACTTTCCGACTCGAGGCGGCCACACTTGAGACTTTCAAACCCTAAATACATGCCCTCAGGCTTAAGAAGAACTCAATCCATAATTCCTAAACTGCAGCCCGTGAATCCTATAAGCCCCTACAGACCCTCAACCCTACAGCCATGAACCAGAAACCCTAAACCCTAAACCTCCGACAGAAAAAGCAAGTTCAGCACGGAGCCGGTCAGTTGGGGAGGTTGGCAGTTTCTGGCTTTCGGAATAGCCCCAAGTATAACCCTATGAGGGTACTGAAGCACCTTGTAAGTGGGTTATAACTACGCATATAAATTGGCTTATAAGTACCTTGAACCTCCAAGTAGCATTGGTAGTGAAAAGGGTTCTTGTGCTATGGCCGAGGGGTTTTCGCGCGCTTTGGCGCCGGCACAGTCTTAAGGACTCAAGGACTCGTCCAGGCTTCCGCAGTCTCTCACAGCACCTTTCCCCGGACCTGTAAGAGCTCGTCGCGCAGTTTGGCTCAAGCCACAAAAAGTCAGGGGCCATTCTTGGGGATTGCTTCGACATGTTCTGACTCTTAGGAGCAAGTTGAGGTTTCGTCCAGAGGGGTCGAAACCTAGGCCCCTTTGACTCCGTAGAGTTGGGAGTGTACGAAAAAAAGGGACCCCCAATGTAGACCCCCAAGTAGTACTTCTTCATAAGGACCCCAAGAAGGTACCCCTAATTTCGGAAAGCCCCAGATTCCTCCTGCCTCCCCCAGACCCTGTTGGGAAGAGCTTCAAAAGCCCCCTGGGCCATATGTTGCGGAGCTTCCTTGGAGCTTCGCAGAGCTTCAATGCGATGCTTGACGCTCAACGTGCAGCTTCAAGGGCGCAGCGCAGGGTTTCAGGGGTCTTGGAGGGCCAGGTCTCGCTGGGAGTTTTGGGGCCGGGAAGTCACTAGCGATTTTCTGGAGAGGGTTCGCGCATCTTGCTCGAGTCCTCACCCCAACCCCCAGCAACCCCACACCCATCAAGCCCGTGCAGCTCTAAACCCTGTAAATTCTGCATGGGGCTCGGTAGTTTGGAGCTGTCCCCAAGAAGAACCAACCGCTTTCAGGAAGGGCCCTACGGCACCACGGTGAAGATCGTCTACGTGAGCCCCCTCCTGGAAAGCTAATTGCCATTAGCTGAAGGTGTCAGCTTACTTCTCTTCCTCATCAATCCAACTGCAGAGCCCCTGTTTGCTGCAGGGAAGCTCATGTAGGTTGCAGGATTCACCACTACCTGAACTAAGGATTTTTTTACCTTGCCTAGAATGTTTGACCTTGCTTCTAAGCTATGAACACAGCTAAGGTCTCTTCTTTGCCGCTGGTGTCTTGGCGCTCTACTGGTTTGCCAGGCAAGCCATGTCGTCCGCGGGGAGGTTGCTTCGAAAAGTGAGACAACACGTTGCTTCATAGGCCTGTTGGATCTCGGAACGAGCAGCCAAGCGCAGGAGCATGGACGAGCTCCATTCCCAGGCGCGCCGTGTCCTTGCAGCTGCAAGGCACATGCGATGTGTCAAAACATCTGAAAGATCGGCGGCACGCAGCCGCAAATGTGAGCCACCTTTTAATCTTTTCATCCCCTGGAGACCCCGAACCCTCAAAACCCTCAAAAACCCGAGCTTTGCAGGAAGCCGTACGGGCCCGGATGCCCTCTTCCAGTCCCGAGGGTGAGGCCACCTCACATCTTGCTGCAAGACTCCCGGGTCCTAGAGTTGAAGTGGCCACGGCTGTTGCAGGAGCAAGCTTCCGAAGAGGACCGTGCCGTGAGGGTCTCATTGCACTGAGATTTTCAGCCCTGAGATGTTGCCGTTGCAGTCTGGTTGGACAAGCTTCTCAATTCTGCATGGCATCTCCCTCAGGCCGACACACTTCGCCGGCGAAGCACCCAGGACACCAGAACAGTGAGAAAGGGTGACTGAAGCGCCGAGTTCGAGCCGAGGGACGTTGCCATGTTGCCGTTGGCACCAGGGCCCCTGCTTGTCAAGCGGCGAACTCCTGGGACATCTCTGCGAAACTGACTCCGGGGTGTTCGCCGTCTTCGCCGGAGACGGACGATAGCCGCCCCATGGCGTGTGCTCGCAGTCAAGGTGCCAGCCAGCACCACCAGCTGCCGAGAAGGCTGCTCCGACCTCCAAGGATAGACCGACGTGTCATGCTGAGCAGAAAAGGAGAGACCTCTTTCGTTTGAGGGTTGGCCAAGCACCACGCCTTCATCCGCTAAGATAAGCCTGGTTCGCAACGAAGCATCAAATATCCCGCACCCAAGCTCCAGAGCCTTGTAACTTGCGGCCCATCCGAAACCAAGAACACCAAAAGTGTCGAAGCTCAGAGAACCCACTTCTGCAGAGAGACAGCCCCTCCCCGAGGCTGTACTAGGCCCAGAACATGCAAGGACCAGGCTTTGGATTTAGAGCCCATCCTCATGACCGAGCCTCATCCCTCCACCCTGCTCCCCAAATCCTTACAAGCCCTAAACCAAACCGGCCCGAAAAAAGGAACACGAGCCCTTTAAGCCGTCCTGCCATGAACAGAAGAAGCGTAGCTAAACAACAGCCCAAAGCCCGATAGGGGCCTTGATAGGACTAGAGCATATTTTTGGGGGAAGTTCGGGTAGAACACCCTCTCCAAGGTGCGGCCGCGCTCCGCCGGCCTGGCACCCAAGCGACCTCCAAAGCCCAAGCCGTCAGGGCCCCCAGCAGTTTGCTCCAACGCGACTTCGTAGAGCTCCGCCCAGAGGGTATAGGCATATGGGGGGGGGAGTATAGGAGTGGTGGGTACATGGGGGAAAAAGGGGGGGTATTGGCTCAAGCAAATTGACCTGCCAACAGCACCCTCCGACCAACCTGAAAGCCTCCCAAGCAAGTTCCTGAAGCGGTTGAATCCCAGGCGCTCGTTTTGAGTCTGTATCCCCTTTGAACCGAGGTTCCAAGTTTGCTCCCAAAGGCCGGTAGATGTTATGCGGTCGCAAGACAAAGCGCAGGATGATGCACGCAATGACTACAAAGTTGCTGTGCATTGGACTCGTGAGTCGCACAGTCCGAGCACTCTAAATGCCGCTCCTGTTCATCTCAGCCCAAGCCTGGTATTTTTGCTTAAGAGCCCCCCCAAAAAAAGTAAAATGATGGTCCCCACATTGCCCGTATGCGGAAGAAAGCCCTCCCCCTCTTCAAACCCCGCGACCCTCCAGCCACAGCTCTCGAGGCATCGCTCCATCGGACCCCAGGCGCAGCTCCCAGGGGCTGCGGTCTTTGGGCTTCGAGAAGGATGGGTTTGGAGGGACTTGGTTCTTGTCACCTGGACTCGAAAAAGCCTGGCAAAGCATACAACTCACCACTCGGAGACAAAGCAAAGGTCAGAATCAAGAGAAGTCTCTTAGCCCGCGTGTCAGTCAGCGCACGCATTCTTGAGCAAGCGATGGCTGCCAGGCCATGGCCGTGCCTCAGACCGTGGAGGCTCACGTTTAGGGTTTAGGGTTTAGGGTTTAGGGTTTAGGGTTTAGTGTTCAAGAGCTCCTGGTCGAGCAGTTTCTCGTTTAGGTTCGCTGTTTAGACCGTCGACAAATACCCACCCACCCGGAGTTCCCATAACATTAAGAAATTCAAAGTTTCTTCTTATTATTAGGATGGCACAACAATAAAACTAATAGGGTTCGCAAGGGTTTAGGGACTCAAGGGTTTAGGGTCTCAAGCGTTTAGGGTTTCAAGGGTTTAGGGACTCAAGGGTTGAGGGCCTCAAGGGTTTAGGTTCTGAAGGTTTTAGGGTCTCAAGGGTTTAGGTTCTCAAGGTTTGAGAGTCTCAAGGGTTTAGGGGCTCAAGGGTTTAGGGTCTCAAGGGTTTAGGGGCTCAAGGGTTTAGGGTCTCAAGGGTTTAGGGGCTCAAGGGTTTAGGGGCTCAAGGGTTTAGGGGCTCAAGGCCGGGCCTTGCCCACCAATCTTTGGGCCTTGCCCACGAGTTTTTGGGCCTTGCCCGCGAGTTTTTGGGCCTTGCCCACGAATCTTTGGGCCTTGCCCACGAATTTCCGGGCCTTGCCCACGAATTTCCGGGCCTTGCCCACGAATTTCTGGGCCTGGCCCACGAATCTTTGGGCCTTGCCCACGAATCTTTGGGCCTTGCCCACGAATCTTTGGGCCTTGCCCACGAATATTTGTTGCCCGCGAATTTTTGTGCCTTGCCCACGAACCAAAACCAAAAGGCCCAAAAATTCGTGGGCAAGGCCCAAAATCCGGATTTTGGGCCTTGCCCACGAATATTTGGGCCTTGCCCACGCATTGTTGGGACTTGCCCACGAATACCATTAAGATTTATATGGTAGGAGAGGTTTATGGTTTAGGGCTTAGGGTCCTCAACCCCCGAATCGTCCCCAGCTGTCCCTCTTGCCGCCGGATGTGGCGAGAAAAGTCGGATTCTTGTTTGGGCCTTTAGATTGATAGCCTTTTGACAAAACTGACAAGATAACCCTGGAGTATGACCAAAGCCTTGCGCTGCATCCCTTCCAAAAAAGCCTTCAAAAGCCTCAGGGAACCTAGAGAGACCTGAACGGCTACTGTAGCCCTGCCTCACCCTAGACCTTAAACCCGAAGCCCTAAACCCTAAACCCCTAAACCCCTAAACCCTAAACTCTAAACCCCAAACCCTAAACCCTAAACCCCGAACATGATTCGCAGGAGCTGCCGAAGGTTCGCCGGTGGAAGTCGGCTTTCATGCCGCCGGAAGCTCACACGAGAGACCAGCCAAACATGGGGGGGGGGAATTAATTAGTTCAGGGTTCAGGGTTGGGGTTTGGGGTTTAGGGTTTACGGTTTAGGGCCCATTCTTAACCCTTAAGGGGTATATAGGGGTCGGAATTTATTACTAGCAATATTCCCTTAGGGGTGCCTTTGTAACTAGAGTAGAATAACCCCCAAAATATGTAACATTCCCTTATGGTCCTCCCTCTGTAGTTATAGTATAATAACCCCAAAAAACTGTTCTAACTATTCAGCCGCTAAATTACCATACTCGGCTTCAGTGACTGCTTTCTTGCATAGGCAGGGTGGGGCCAGTCCGACTCCGAGAAATGAGGTGCTTCTCTTACAAAAGCTTTGAGGTTTGCAAGTCTAACCCAAGTCTGCAGGCACAGAAAGCTCACACGGATAGGAACGGAGACGACGCAGCCCAGAGAACAGACGGTGTGCTCTGGAGCCGGCATGACGTCCTGCAAGCTCTGTAGGATTTAGGGTGTAGGGTTTAGGGTAAGAGCAAGAGCCTTCACAAGCCCTGGAGAATAGACGTCCAGCCCACAGCATTCGAACCATGAGCATCTGTAGCTGAAACTCGTGAACTCGTGAGCCACCCGGCATAAACCCGAAACCCTAAACCCTAAGCCCCATTCAAGACTCGTGGCCAAGCCCTAGCGATGCTGTTGGAGTCAGGGTTTGGCACAGAGGCTCTGGCTGGATGTGGCCCCGGAGAAGAGCCCCGACCCGCCGCGCTGCTGCAACAGCGGATGTGGAGAGAGAGAGAGAGAGAGAGAGAGAGAGAGAGAGAGAGAGAGAGGGAGAGAGGGGTGATGTCTTAAGGGCTGCGTAGGGGCTACTTAGGTATATAGGGCCCTATATAGCATATATGTAGGGGTTAAATAGGGGAACAAGATTAAGGGTTTTTTTTCAGGGGTCCCTCCTTGTAGCCCTTAAGGGCTGCGGCCTGGGGGTTGCCTGGGGTGTCACGGCTTGTGCGGCAATGAACTCCAGAACTGCGGGTTTTTGTATTGGGAGGGGAGGTTGGCTCCTGCTGTGCCTACCAATGTGTTATTGTTTACTGCTATTTTATCTATTTTTTTTTTTGGGGGGGGGAGGGGGGGGGCGCGTGGTGAAGCATTCCGACAGAGACAAATGGTCGTAACTTAAAAAGCGTCTCTTGCGTAGCTTGAAAAGTGTCATTGACGGTTTCAGAAGATCAGCCCGCAGATATGAAGGCGGCCGAGGTGCTGTCAGCTTTATCGAAGCATCTGCGACCACTCTTTGCGCCGAAATCCTCCGACCACGCACTCGATTCCGTCCACCATTGGGGGTTTGCGATATTGGGGTGTACCTTACTGGGGTCCTTATTGAAAGGGGATCCTATTTCGGGATCAAGACCTGGGGTCCCTGATTCTCGTGACACCCCACACTGGGACAGCAGCATTGTGGCACCTTGCTACGTTCCTAGGCAGGATAAGGGGGACCCTTAAAAGGGAACCCTTCTGAACCCTCTTCTGGCTCTCTTAAACAGGGACCTTATTCAGAGGGTCTATATCCCCCAAGGGTCCCCCTAATCCTATCCTCTATTACGTGTCGGGAAGAGGGACTTGCCGCCATGCAAGAACTCGAGTCCACGGGAGAGTGTCAGCCTGGGATGCTCCCCCCTTATACTCACAGTCCTAAAAAATAGGGATTAGAGTACCCCTCATAATAAACCCCTCTTAAGGACTGTTAGTATAAGGGGGAGCATCCCAAGTGTCAACACCCACTGCACTGCAATCCTCCACTGAAAGGTGTTTTTTCCCCAAACAGGAACCGTTTGGGGTCCTCTCCTCAGAAAAAAAAAAGTGTCACGCGCTTGGCCAGATGGGTGTCACGCGCTTCGGGCCTGTGGTCTCCCATGGTCTCCGATCATGAACCCAATTGGGGCCGGGCGGGTGTCACGCGTTTCGGGCCGGTGGTCTCCCATGGTCTCCGATCATGGGCACAATTGGGGCCAACTGAGGCCGGGCGGGTGTCACGCGCGTCGGGCCCTCTCCCATGGTCTCCGATCATGAGCGCAATTGGGGCCAATTGGAATCGTTCGGGCCATGGTGGGTGTCACGCGTTTCGGGTCTGTGGTCTCCCATGGTCTCCGATCATGGGCGCAATTGGGGCCAACTGAGGCTGGGCGGGTGTCACGCGCGTCGGGCCCTCTCCCATGGTCTCCGATCATGAGCGCAATTGGGGCCAATTGGAATCATTCGGGCCATGGCGGGTGTCACGCGTTTCGGGTCTGTGGTCTCCTATGGTCTCCGATCATGGACGCAATTGGGGCCAACTGAGGCCGGGCGGGTGTCACGCGCGTCGGGCCCTCTCCCATGGTCTCCGATCATGAACGCAATTGGGCCAATTGGAATCATTCGGGCCGTGGCGGGTGTCACGCGTTTCGGGCCTGTGGTGTCCCATGGTCTCCGATCATGGGCGTAATTGGGGCCAACTGAGGCCGGGCGGGTGTCACGCGCTTCGGGCCCTCTTCCATGGTCTCCGATCATGAGCACAATTGGGGCCAACTGAGGCCGGGCGGGTGTCACGCGCGTCGGGCCCTCTCCCATGGTCTCCGATCATGAGCGCAATTGGGGCCAATTGGAATCATTCGGGCCATGGCGGGTGTCACGCGTTTCGGGCCTGTGGTCTCCCGTGGTCTCCGATCATGAGCGCAATTGGGGCCAATTGGAATCATTCGGTCTCCCATGGTCTCCGAGCAGGGGCCCAACGCCAACCGAGGCCGGGCGGGTGTCACGCGCGTCGGGCCCTCTCCCATGGTCTCCGATCATGAGCGCAATTGGGGCCAATTGGAATCATTCGGGCCATGGCGGGTTTCGGGTCTGTGGTCTCTCCCATGGTCTCCGATCATGAGCTGGTCTCCTATGGTCTCCGATCATGGGCACAATTGGGGCCAACTGAGGCCGGGCGGGTGTCACGCGCGTCGGGCCCTCTCCCATGGACTCCGATCATGAGCAGGAATCATTTGAGCCATGGCGGGTGTCACGCGTCTCGGGCCTGTGGTCTCCCGTGGTCTCCGATCATGAGCACAATGGGGATCTCCGATCATGAGCACATGTGGGGCCAGTTAGGGCCGAGTTTCGTGCCGTCTCCCCGGTGGGTGTCACGAGTTTCGTGCCGTCTCCCATGGTCTCCGATCATGGGCGTAAGTGGGGCCAACGGAGGCCGGGCGGGTGTCACGCGCTTCGGACCGGATCATGAGCGGGTGTCACGCGATCATGAGCGACAGGGGTCTGGGAAGGTGTCACGCGTGCAGATCCGTGGTCATGGGCTGAAGTATGGCCCTGCTTTAGGAAATGTTTCGGGGGGGGGGGGGGGGCGCTGCGTCAGTGACCGAGGATTTCCGGTAACATTTTTGGCGGTCGGAATTGTTACCAGGAGACCTCCCCCCCAGGCTTGGTAACATTTTAGCTTGTGTGTCTTGCCCACGCAAAGACCTGCACATACGTGCTTTAGTTCTTTGTCTCCTTCATGTTTTTGAAATGTTACACGGATTATGGGGTAGGTTTGCATGTATGCCCGGCGAGAGACCCGGAAATGTTACTGGTAACATTTTGGGGCCCCACCCCCCCCCCGCCCTAGGGGGAGGGCCATGCTGAAGTTGTCTTTCGTCACGTGGCTTCGCTTGACGTCTGAGGCCAATGCCGAACAGGTGCGCGCTAGAGTATGCTAGATTCACGATATCTTCTGCGTTCGTGTGATTTGACAGACAACAGACAGCAGTGGTCATGAGAGCCATGGCGCAGCTGTGAAGTTCGTCTCTGCCAAGGACTTCAGCGTCTGCTTCTGTGCTCATGCTTCATGCTGACTTTCCGCGGGACATGCGCTGCAACATTGCAACATGCAACTACATGTACTGTCGCTCTTCATTCAGGCTCGAAAGCATGTGTATGTGTGTGTGTCTTGCAGGGTCTGGTTGTGTGCTCATGCTTCATGCTGAGTTTCCGCGGGACATGCACGCGGCAGCATGTAACTAAATGCGACTATGGCCAAGCTGGAATGCGTGTGTATTTGTGTGTGTGACAGTGTCATTTGGCTGGGTCGCCTGACCAAGTAGACCTGTGGCCATGGCTTTGGAGATCAAAGATTTGACGAGCCACTCCGCCAAGGTGGGAACGTTTCTGGTTCGCGTGGTTGAGCCACAAATTCTACGCTACAGCTACGACAGGTCTGGCGTCCAGAAGATGGGACAGAGGCTCCAATGTAGACTTGTCAGCAAGGATGCAACCATGTACTGCTTGGCTACAGCTCGCGGAGATGAGAACAAGTTGAATGGGCTGTTGAAGAAATTCGCGGATCAATCCACGTGGCTGCTGACAAAGCCCCAGGTGGATGCGAAAATGGACATGAAATGGGTGTCAGCTCCCAACAAAACTGTGGTCATGCTGGATGGCTCGACTGTCTCGACGCAAGCGACAACGACCGATGGTGACTTGGCAACAGAATGTGTGCCGCCCCACAACGTCGAAGCCGTTGCTGCGCTGATGGACAAGAGGTGCATAGATCTGATGGGTGTTCTGAAGGATGTCCAGGATGCTGTGGTTCAGACAAAGGTGGGGCCCCGGCGAAAACTTACCCTCACTCTGTTGGACAAGAGTGACTCGCAGGCCTGCGTGGTGCAGGTCGCTGTCTGGCAGGACGAGAAAAGTACCCAGATGGCAGACTTGCTTGAAACCCACAAAGGAGGGGTTGTTCGCCTGTTCGCTGTGAGCACAGACTTTTATAACGGCAAGCTGATGCTTTCGGCCTCCAACAGCTTTGAAGTGAAAGACGGCGGGCGACATGCAAGGGCAGAGGCACTACGGACGCTCAGCAACGAGATGAAGAATCTTCCGGATGAGCAGCTGTGCTCCTTGACAGGATCTTGGGAAGGCGGCGGCGGTGGCTCTGTCTCCGTGGAGGGCAACGCAGTTTTGACTATGTGCAGCCTGTTACACTCCTTGAAAGATTCCTTGCGACAAGACTGCCTTGCCGAAGCCTCAGCGTCTGCCTGACCTCAGCCATTCTGCCTGTCATGGTTTCGCTTGAGTCCCCCGTTCGGACTTACGCTCATGTGACGTCTCAGGTGCAAGTCACAGGGGCGTGGGTTGACGTTCCAGTTGGCACTGAAGAGGACGTCCTCACAAAGGACAAAAGCAGAGTGTTCTTCCGAAGTGTCATGCGCGACATCAGCGGAAGTTGTGACGTGCAGGTGTTGGAAGCCGGTGCTCTGGCTTTGTCGGGCGCAAAGGACAAAGAAGAATTCCTGTCCCTGCTAGCTGCTGGAGATCTGCAGTTCGCTCCGTGCACGGTGCGTTGCTTGCGCCGGGTCAAAGACTCGTATGTGAATGCCGTAAGCTCAGCTGCTGCTTTCTCGTGCATTGCCTGTGTACATGGTTTCTGCTCACTTGCGCAAGTGAAGACAAGCGCTGAAGCACAACGCTTCATCTGATGTCTGAGGTTCTGCTTGCTGCGGCCACACCCATGGACTGGAAACCTCCTGGCAAGAACACGGCCGACGTGTTGTCACAGTCGCTGAAGCTGGTTGCTGCATCGTGCTCCGGAACAGCGCCTTCCAAGCTGGCAAACCCAAGGAGCAGCCATTTCTACAACTTGGAGATGCAGTGCCCCGACAGCAAAACGAAGATCTGCCTGCACAGCGCTGTGAGCATCGTCAAGGGGACGAAAAAGAGCACATGGTCACTGGTGGACCCGCAAGACC